TGTTGACCACAGCGGTTCCTATCAGCAGCTATGACGTGCTGCTGCAGTAACGTGCTGCTGACGGCTCCTGTGGAAAGCCGGGGTAAGATTCGCAAACTTAATTGTGAACTTAGCACTGCACAGTAGTGTGTTTGCATGCATGTGTGCATGTGTATGTGCACATGCATGTGTATGTGCACATGCATGTCCATGTGTGCTTGGTTATTTTGCTTGGTTGGCCTGCAGTGGTGTTCTACATTCAAAAATTATAAGAACACCCATTTCAAAGGGAGATTTAAGTTGATTTCATTGATACATGTGTAGATTTTTTTTACATTGTACAGGCACAGTGCACATATAGACATTTTTGAGTACTTGCAAAATGGTTTAAAAAGAGTTTTGGTTTTATGCCAGTTTTACACAGGTTGCAGGTTTTATACCAGTTCTAAAAAGATTGGAGGTTTTATACTGGTTTTCAAAAGGTTGCAGGTTTTAGACTGGTTTTCTAAAGATTGCAGGTTTTATACTGGTTTTCAAAAGGTTGCAGGTTTTATAAAACAAACATTTCTCTAATCATTTCTGCCGTATGACTAAATCTTTATATTACTAATCCTCTCTATTGATTACAGTTAAAATGGTTTGGAACAATAAATAATTTTGAAATAATTGGTTGGCCAACTGTCTTGTTTTTATAGGAAATGCAGAGCATTTTTGAACTGAAATAAAATGAAATGTAAAAAATATAGTTTGAATATATGTAAATCAATTACCCGGCTTCAACACAAACATATTAGTTCATGTTAATTTGGTTCGATGTGAATACATTAGGTTGGTTAAATTTCAATATATTAGCTTGGTTCAATAATTAAAATATGGTTCTACGTAAAAAAATCAATTTCGATCAATGCAAAATTTAAAGTTTCGATCTAGTCTAGTAATATTGTTCATATCAACATAAAAGTATCAGGTCATATCAAGTGACTCAATTTGGATTCTATGAAGTCAAATATTTTGGATGTGACCATTGGACATCAATTTTTTTAATTTCAATGGGGTTTTTCTTTTTACAGTGTACAATAACAGAAAACAGTTCTATTCCATATCCTTACTGGGTTTGCAAACAGTGATCGCCGCTTCTGTCATGTCAGTGTGGGCCACCCTGGCAGCTGGCATGATGCAAGAGCCTTTCACCACACAACTGTTGCACACCTACTTGAAGAAGACCCCAGGCTCTGGTCCCAAATGGCATGCACATCATTGGAGATTCAGCTTACCCCCTATTGCCACGGCTGATGAAGCCTTACAGGGATAATGGGCACCTCACAGCCAGCCAAAGGCACTTTAATAGAAAACTGAATGCGACTCATGTTGTAACTGAACATGCATTTGGCATGCTGAATGCAAAGTTTAGGAGGCTCAAATGTCTTCACATGAAAGGCATAGGACATGTTAGTGCAACTGTGACAGCATGCTGCCTTCTGTACAGCATTTGTTTGGATCCTAGTGACCATGTGGAGGAGGATGAGCTAGAGCAGGATGAGAATGACCCACATCCACCACAACCCAACAATGAAGATGCTTCAAACTACAGGGACAGGATTTGTTCCCAGATTGAAGCTAGCCCACCCTTACCCCAGCACCTTATCCAATGTTTGGTTTTATTCTTCATTCCCACACATTTATGTGAGCTGGTGTGCTGTATGCCACAGGGGGATTTGATGCACTTTAAGTGAAATCAGTCTGCTCTCCAACTCCTAAATCTGTACATTAAGTTTGAAACAAAGTGCATCTCTATCATCAAGACTCCTGATGTGCCTCCCAGTGGCAGCTCATGGAAACTGGGTGATATGATCCCAGGCAAAACCATCAGGGGATCTCGGAGCATCAGTGGTCCCCAGAGGCAAAGTGACATTACCGTTAGTAATTTGACATGCCAACCACTGCTTTTATGTTAAATCCTTTAAAGATAAGAAACAAAATACCTTTAACGCTCAGATATACATTTTTATTTTGAGTGTCCTTCTAACAAACTGAAAAGTTTTTCTTGCCGCTTTCCAAGTTCTTTTAACTGATTCAGGATTTGACACATGCATGTAATGACTTGTTTCTTAAACCCCCTTCTTTTTTCTTTCAGCCGTCTCCAGTTGGCCAAATCTGGCCTCGTAAGTGACTCCAAGGCAGTGGTCCTGGCTGCGCTCAGCATGGGCCTCATAGGACTGAAAAAACGCTGGGAGATGAGCAGTCGTGCTTCTCTTAGAGCCAGAAGCTTGTCTGTCCTGTATGGCCGATGAGGGACCAGGTTGCTCTTCGGTTTCAGCAGGTGATGTCTGAGCCAGCCGCCGAAGGATGGGCTTCTTTAGGAAAGAGGGGAGTTGAAACAGTTGTGCCAGGTGGTGCACGTCCCACCACTGTGTGACCAAAAAGTTCATCCATTTGCTGACAGAAGAGGGATAAACAATTTTCATTAGTTATTGTAGAACTTTACTGAACACTTTTAATTACAAATAGTCCTTTTTGTCAAAAGAAATGGTCCAAGCACTTACTGCGGGGTCCCCAATCCTGGTCCTGGAGGGCTGGTATCCAGCAGGTATTGTGGTTTTTCTGCTCCAACAGACTTGATTCAGTGGTTGAATCACCTGTGCCGCAGCTCATCAGGCTCTGCAAAAGCCTGTTAATTGGCTGCTGGTTGAAATCAGGTGTGTTGAAACAGAGTTCAAACTAAAACATGCAGGATACCAGGACCAGGATTGGGGACCCCTGACTTACTGTGTAATAGTCCCAGGTAATTTTCTCCTCTCCAGTCAGTCTACTTCTGTCTTTGGCTCATTTGTATGTAGTTACCATGTTTCCCAGCTTTTTTCTTATTTTCTCGTTGGTGAAGTTGTATTCTCGTCTAGAGAATTCCTGTTCCAGCTTTTTATAGAATAAAGGTTTGTTACGGTGATAGAGATGCTGATGTTCTCTTGTTAGCTCTAGAAGCAGCAGTGCAATACTGTATGTGAATTCTGTTCAAACAAAGAACTGTTACAGGACAGCATCTTCAAAATATAAAGTATTAGTATCCAAAATACCACTGTACCTGTCGGTGGTCCATGGCATTCTGGCTCATTGGATGGACATGAAGATTGCAGTCCCTTTGAAGATATTTTAACAGAAGTAATGCACTGGTTGAGTGGGACAACCGACTCACTCTGACCTGGGATTTTGGAAAGTTGAACCTGGGCAACTTTATAAGGGTGCTGATTGAATGTTTGAACTGACTGAACAGATGTGCTCACAGTTGAAGGTTGAGTTCCTGCTACGGGACTAGGGGTGATGGACACTGGCATCTTGGTAACAGGGGTGGGACACTGGTCTCTCAAAAGTTGACCAGTGGACAAAGGCGGGTTAATTTGTGGATTTCCTGCCGATGCTACCAAAGGTTAACCAACACACACACACACACACACACACACACACACACACACACACACACACACACACACACACACACACGGAAGTTTACCTTGATTCTGGTTTGCAGCTCTTACTTGATCCATTATGTATGTTGCATAGTTGTTATCTGAAAAATACAACCCAACAGTTCACTCTTTTGATGAAGATTATGATTAAAGATGAATGAGGTGACTGAGCTATCATTGCACATCATTAACTTTGTTTCTTCCTAGTTGTGATTTGTCCTCTTTCTGCATGCATCATCAACCTTGGAGACTGGAGTTAATAATGTTAGAAATATATTTTATAGAATCTGTAACTTACCATTTTTTATCATTTCAGCGGTTTGTCTGCTCACAACCAGTTTAAGGGTGCCCTTGCTGTCTGTCAAACACGCAGCGACTTGATCCATTTTTCTGAGAACAATCCCTATTTTCAGGAGCCTTGTATAGCAAATTGGTTGAGTAGCTAAGTGGATTCACACTGTTACTTCTAATCACCAACACATTGTACCCAAATAATATTTATTGCAGGCGTTTGTTCTGTGATTTTACTGATGGTGGAACTCATTGTGACATTTGTTTCTTCATTAAAGCTTATGGTGACATAACCAATAACTGTGGCTGTGTCTCTATTCAACACTGAGAACTCAACAAACTGAGTAAGCTCTCTGGAATGAGGATGAAATGTTGTTAAAGAAATAACACAGTCCAGTTGCTGTTTAACAACCTTTTTTAAAATAACTATGACCTGGATGACTGAGAACCTTCACAGATATTAATAAACTCAGCAATTGGTCGAGTGTGACTCATATTGCTGTTCATGTTCTATTTCCAGGAACATTAATATATGTTTATTACAAAGAAAACATGAGTGAGCATGGTGTGTGTGATGTGCTGCTAAACAAATGAATCTCAAATATAATAAGCAGTGACATTTTGCTTCATAGATACTGTAGCTGATAAACAGTATGCATAGTGTAAAATGGTGTATTTGGCTGATATAAATTGTTATTTTTGCGAGGTGTTTAAAGATGTAAGGATAAGTCTGAATCAATTCAATAAGATTTCTATGTTAGAATTACAAATTTTATTGCAAAGAACAAGTAAAATTCTGGTGCCTGTTAGCAGCTGAAACACATCCTCACATGCTTGTGGATATAATATAATGCATATAGAGACATGACTGTAATAATAAGTAAAGGTTATCAGCTGTAGGTTTAGTGTGCTTATAGGAAACGTGCCAAAAGAACACAAAACACATTTCTCTATGGCATATTGTTGTCTTCATCAAAACCTGATTTGTAGCTACAGCTAACATTTCATGTTCTAGACATAATCGAAAGATGTTTTTGTGTAATTTTGCTATGGTTGTGTTGAAGATATAAATGATTTGTGTGGATATAGGGTTTGATAGTGATCTCATTATTACATGTTTGTTAATCTGCCAATTTTTCTTCAGCGCGTAGATAAACTATAGTGGTAATTGAGTAATTTGACCAATCCTAGGTGTCCTAAGTGTCGACCTGAACCTTTGAGATATCTCTCGGCTTTGGAGTCGACCTTTTAAAAAGAATACATTTCCCATAAGCGCAGGAAGGGAACTACGTCACCTTCGTTTTGATAAAGCATGCTGGGTAAAATTCCTCTCTCTTTCCGGCTGGTCCCCCATCATGTAAGCTAGAATTTCCACACTTTAGAAGAGAACGTAATCCATGAAAATCATCCTTTATAAAGCATCATCCGTCAATATATCTTAGAAGTTAACTCGATTACGTATTGACTATGCTTATATCCTGAAAATGTATTAACACATTCTGCAAATGTAGCGATTAATAGTCCGGTTTTACCGGAACGTTTATGTTGGTTAGCTAGCTTTGAGCAGCGCTGTTAGTTGCAGCGCTGAAGCGAGTAGTTTTTGTGTTTAATGCCTTATTTGTTAAAATATGTCTGTCACCGCGTTTTGTTATTTCTAACGTAGGTTTAGACTTAAGGAATCTGTGCTGTGTGGGTTTGGAGCTATGTAGCTAGCTGTAGCATAAGAGCTAAATTCGAACCAAAGGCTCGGAAAGGCACGCGCTACTAAAACGTTATCTTGATTTTATTCATTATTTAGTTTGCGTTGGTTCTCTGATGCCTGTCTCATTTCCAGTAGTTAAACTGGTGAAGGAAAACCAAGTGGCTGACTGTAAACCGAACGGAGTTTCTCACTAAGCTGCATGAAACCCTGTGTGGTAACTTGTCTAAAGAGGCAGAATAAAGGAAAAGGAATATTAGACACTTGGCTGTTAATGAGATGTAATCGTCTGAGTCATGCAGGTTAAATACTAGTCTGTAGGATTTCCTTCAATGAAGACCTCGGTGCTACTCTGCTGGTTTGGATCCGAATTAACATTCTTAAATGTTTGTTTTCCAGTTAAGTCAACATGGGAGCATATCGGTATATGCAGGAGTTATGGCGCAAGAAGCAGTCCGATGTCATGCGCTTTCTGCTCCGCGTTCGCTGCTGGCAGTACCGTCAGCTGTCTAACCTCCATCGGGCACCGAGACCCACCAGGCCCGACAAGGCTCGCAGACTGGGCTACAAGGCCAAGCAGGGTGAGTGCTGTCCCCAGAGTTCATGTTGGGTGTCTTACCATTTTTGCAGCAGGTACCTTTTTTCTGGAAGCCCTTCTGCATTCAACAAAGTTTGATCAAGATGTCATGCTGATAATGTTTTCAGTACAACACCTGGTCCTTTCAATAACCCAAAACCTTCTTAATGCTCTTGTAAATGTTTAAAAGGTAAATCATTCATTTCACAAGTGCAGGTAAACATTAAACTGAGTCTTCAGTTGTTAAAGACTTTCACATCAATGCTGAGACACAGAACCACTTTACTGTTTGCACTAGTAGTGATCAAATTGACTGGTTGCTGATAATCGTTGGCCAGTTTCTGTGAAAACGTATGTGATCAACATGTTCTAATTGGAGCCGATCACCAGAAGCTCATCCTTTGCAGCCTGCAGAGACCCTGTGTAATCGGTATTTAAAGAGCAAATTGCAGGTTAGACTCCCATGAACCAATGTTTAGAGAAACATAATAGAAACTTGTTTTAAACTTTTTTTTTTTACACGTACATATTTTTTTAGGCTTTTAGTCATTTTTGTGAGAGTTTATTTATTTATTTTTCTTTTGCCAAACCAAGTGACATCAGCTGAGGGAGTCCTGTTAGCTTAATCCAGAGGAAAAATATGGATTCTAATGCCGGCTCTGACACAGAGGAAACTTTAAATGTTTGTAATTATACTTATGATGGACCAAAACCATAAAGTTGTGAGTTTGCTGCACGCCCCAGAGAGCAGAGACCAACGAGAGGGAGAAACGATTGGCCAAAGCAGAGAGATTGTGGAGAAACAGCGGGGGAGCAGCTTGTGAGTTAACGATGTTAGCTTAAACTCGTGTGCTGACATCACAATATTGTACAGATTGCTATCATGTACCAAACAATTAAAATTTAAGTTAATATAATACTATTGAGCGTCTGTCAGCTGTCTCATACTCGTTAATATCCGTTCACGTAACGTAGTTTAGCACTTAGAGAGAGGGAGAGAGACGCCTGTGATCCAGTCCTGGAGCTCATGCGTGCTTCTGACATCAGCCAGTCGAGCTGATAATTTTTAAAAACTGCACATGATTCTTACCTGGAGGTCTGCAGCGGTTCTGATATGGTTCCGACCCATAAAGCTCGCTCGGCTGGCCCGCCGGACTGAGAAAGAAATGCCTGTCGCTCTGTTCTGGAGCTCATGCGGGCTTCTGTGAGCTGGATCCGACCCAAACACCAGCAAGTCAGATGAGTTGTGTTTTTTAAAAGCCGCACATCCTCTCCTGGTGGTCCAGGCGCCGGTTCTGATCCAGTTCCGACCTGGAAACCAGATGGCCCGCTGGGCCGCGCATCTCTTCTGGTGGTTGGTTCTGACCTGGTTCTGACGGTGATCTGAGTTCCAGAAATTTAATTTTTTTAATCCAGCCACGGATTTCCGCAACTTAGCGCCGACCTCCCTGACCCGGTACCGACCGATGTGGGCTACAGAAATCCGTCTTTTCAGCTGCACTAAACACCCTCAGGCACGGAGATAGAGGCGTTGTTTCTCTTCTCTGGAAACCCGTGGACTCGATGTCCAGACAGGCTGGAGTTGGTACAGCCTTCACACACTACAGTTAATCAACATGAACACAATCCAACACTAGTAAGCTCTTCTAACTCCCTTTGGTTACGTCAGAGGTTCGGTTTTTAAACCGAGCCTTTTTAGAAGCTTTGCTGAGAAAGGCCACTTTTTACTATAAAACTCTGCTGTTATGTATTTTAAAACAAAATATACACAATAAGCATTTCAAATAGTATTTTTGGACAGCATTTTGAATAAATTAGAAAAAATTAAACCAACAATTTGCTCTTTAAAACTATCATATCATAACATCTAGTTTGCTCATTAATTTTCTTGATTTAAAAAAATATTTAGTAGATTTCTTTTTGATGAACCTTTTTAAGGGTCTTTTGTAAAGCCACGTTTGGTGCACAAAGATTCTCACCTGGACTGAAACCATCCTTACGGTATCTGTACTATTAAAGCCCACAGGATTCCCTGGTTTAGTGAAAGCTGCTCGTTGTCTTCTGTAGGAGTGAACCAACAGCTTTGATCCCAGGTCTTATTGGGTCTAGGGTTTATCTTTATTTGTGCAGCCCTTGATGAGATTTTGTGTTCAACAGGCTATGTCATCTACCGTGTTCGAGTGCGTCGAGGTGGCCGTAAACGCCCCGTTCCCAAGGGGGCGACCTACGGCAAACCAGTGCACCACGGCGTGAATCAGCTCAAGTTCGCCCGCAGTTTGCAGTCAACTGCTGAGGTACGCGAGTCTTGTCTTCATCAGCAGATGTTTGGTTCATGTCTAAGAAGTTTGGAGTTTTATTTGTGGTGTTGGGTCTTTATAGCCTAGTGAACTAGACCAAATTCTTGCTTTGCAAAGAATGGTCTAGGCATGCTCCATTGGAACCTCAGCAGCTCCTACCAGGACTCTGGCTAGCCAATCACAGCTCTAAAGGGGTTTCAAACACATAAAGAGCTGTGATTGGTCCATAATGGTGGGCCAATCATAGTGCTCAATCTGCTTAGTGAACAAATCACAGAGCTTTATCCGCTTTGTGGGCAAATCAGGGCACTCTATATGCCTGGTGGGTGGGATGATGCAACAGAGTGAAACAAGAGTATGTCACATTCATTGTCCAGTGGAATGCGGAGATCATTTGAAAGACAACAGTAGAACCCGCCCCACAACCGAGAGCCGTCAATGGAGCATGGCCAGACTAAATAATACATTTATTTAGTCTGGCTTGCCAGGCTAGGGTCTTTACACAGTTCAGATTGGATTACCATTACAAGTAGTGCTGCCACGATGAGTCAGTTTGTCACGATGACCAACAAAATGGTCGACAATAAATTGAATAAGCAACATTGTATAAAAAATGTTACTTTTTTTATCTTGCCTGCTGCGTTTCTGCTGGGGGCACGCACGCAGTAGTGGCCGTCCGGGTCAGCCGCTGCGTCATCGGAAAAACGGGATTTTGGGGAGATGCCAGCGTAGCTCAAAAGTTTAGGAGCATTTTACAAAGATTAAAGAAGCATGTACAGCGCAAAATTAGCAAAGTAGAACCCTCCTTTCACTGGAGCTCAATGGCGATGCACAAACACCTTAAAAGGAAGCTCATCTTGGCAGAGGAGGAAGATTAGTGATGGGTACTTTGACATTTGAATCTATGGTACCAATTTTTGATACTTTTGAGTGTTTAATAATTATTTAAATAGCTTTTAAAATTAAAAATATACTTTTTGCCCAATAAATAACCACATTTGATAAATACCATAACAGACAACAGTTTGTATTTTGTCATCGTAGTGTTGTACAAATGTCTTAAAAATCAAAACCTTTAACTGTTTCTAAACGATGCAAAAACAAACCCAGCTCCATGTACTCATCATGTTCTATGCCCTCTAAAATAACTGATGAGGAGACCATGCATTATAAACTACAAATAAAACTAAAGCAAACTTCAATACCATGCAACAGTTTGTATTTTAATATTGTGGAGTTTGACAAACTAAACCCAGCTTCATGTACTTTTCCTCCCTTCTCTGAACAAATTGTGATGGTGGGTCCTTGTAGTTTAAACTGCTAATTACACTGAAGTAAACATCTTTGCTGTGAACCATATTTACTGTGTATCTTCATTCCTTTTGCCATTCATTTTCAAACTGTTTATTTTTCCTACTCTAAAGCTGGAATTTCCAAGGAGATGGCGAACACACCATCAGATATGTAAACAAAAACCAAACTATCAAGCTAACGTTCTTGGACTGTTTATTCTGCTGCTGGAGCAGATTAAGATGACTCATACTAACTTAGGTCGTTGTCGCTGGTTTCATCACCCAGTTACCCATCCCATTTAGTGAGGTGAACCCAAACTTCAGAACGCTTCGTCTCTGCCATGCTGCTCTGTTCACAGCTCGCCCAGAGTGACTGACGACATTACGCTCTTGCTCCGGCGCGTAGCATGGGTATCAAAAAAAGGCAAAAAATGACACAAGTCAGTACTTGGTCGGTACTATGGAATTCAGTCTTTGCCTTTTAAAAGTACTGAATTCAGTACCCATCTCTAAAAAAGATGGAACAGTCACTTCTGTAAGCTAATTACCTCTTGTTAGCTTCTAACAGCCATAGCAATAATAGTAGTGGTGACTATTTCATTACCACACGTAACGTTACAAACACTAATTTATTGTGTCCCTCTACGTTAGTCTTAAAAAACAGAACTCTTCTTCAGTGGACAAGTTTGCTACTAAGTGAAGAACACGCACACCTCGGCAAGCTAATGTTCTGAATGAGGCAGTCTTAAACATGTTGGTGACAGGAATGAGACCCCTGTTGTTAAGCTATCATCTTGTCTTTATTTTTAGATGGCACATAACGGATCATACTTGAAACTAGAAATGATGGGTATATTATAGCAGCTGCATCCTGGTAAAATAAGTAATGCTTAATGCGTGACACCATTTGTTGACTAATCGTCAAACATGATTAGTCCATAGTTAAAATGTTTGTGGCAGCCCTAATTAAAATATACATAGCTTCTTGCTCTTTGGGATTTTCTCTTTTTAGGTGAAATTATAGTTGATGCTGATTGTAGCAAGGTTCTGTTTTAATACAGCTCCAGTGGTCTCTAGTAGGAATGAATCTCTTGTAAGGACAGATCAGAATCTGTTTTTGCCGCAAGCCGCTTTTTGGACACGTGAATTTCAACAGTCAACATAGGGCTAGACAGGAAATCACACACGGTTTAAGTATCCCCAGTAATTTTCAAAATAAGTCAAATGCAGCGATGCAGTTTCATGTAGATTAAGTCAATACGATTGACATAAAGGCTCATTTACTCCCTGCATCATTCCAGAAGCGCAGTGGTGTGGTTTTCATGGCTTTAATCCTGGCTAGGGCTGGGCGATTTTGCCCCCCAAAAAAATCTTCGATTTTTGAAGAAAAATTCGAGTTTCGATTCGATTTTCGATTTTTTTCCCCAATGCACTTAAAAAATGGCTGCAGACATCAGATATAGTGTCAAAAGTGCAACTTTATTGCTATGATTGTCCTCAAGAGTTAAACTGCGTAGAATCCCAAAACAAAAAGTAAATGAGGCTCTGTCATTCAACAATTTCAAGCTTTAACCCAGGTTTAAACAAAAGTGCAACAGCTTCACAGTAGCTTAAATTTTCTGTTCAAGAAAACACATTAATAAAAATTTTGTAACATAAAATTACCAAAAAAATAAAAATCTCAGTATAGTGTGAATACAAAAATGAAACAAGCCTGTGGCAGACATATAGCCTGCTCAAAGAATGAACAAATCTGTAAACGTTTATAACAACAAAATATGTGCTTGTTAGATCTCTGAAAAACTGTGCATGCTCATTCTAAACATTTTTTGCAAGAAAGATGAGCCTGTCCACAACATCTGGCTTAAGGCAGGCCCGGTTGCAGGTAACTATTCCTCCACCTACACTAAATACTCTCTCTGAGGGGGCACTAGTGGCTGGAACAGAAAGATATTTTTTAGCCAGTAAGCTTAGTCTTGGAAAGTTGGGCTGATGAAGCTTCCACCATTCAAGAGGATCTGTGTCTGGCTCAATGTCTGGAATAAGTAAATACGTCGCAAGCTCAGTCTCAATTTTTGTTTTCTCAGATTGTGGGTGTAGCGTGGTGGATGGTGCAGATTTTTTAAAGAAGGCACCAAGAGTCATTTTCTTTTTTGGCGGGGTGTTCTCTTGAACAGCTGAGGGACCAGCTTCCTCTGTGGTAGAGTTGCAGAGAGCAGAGATCTCAGACACCGCTCTTTTTTTGACAACTTCCAGTTTGCTTGCATCAATGTAGGTTGTACGGAACCTCGGGTCTAAAAGTGTGGCCATGTCCAAAAGTTCCTCTTTCTCCAAATCACAGTATTTACTTTCAAGGTAACGCATGATGTTAGCTTTGATTGTTTTTGTTAGCTCCAAATCTTCCTCCTCTGGCAGGAGGAGACTTGTTTTAAACAAATGCAGCACCGGTTTGATGCATGACACACTGACATATGACTCCCCTGACAGCGCATCAGTGAAGTCCTGGAGAGGTTTCACTGCTTTGTTGGTGGCTTCCAATACTTCCAAATCTTGCCACGTGGGAACAAGATGACGTGTTTTCTTGTCTGCACCCAGGACACGAGTTATTGCCTTCTCTTGCTCAAGAAAGCGCTCAATCATCTTTTGACGAGACCCCCAACGAGTTGGGGATTCTGAGATCAAAAGATGCTGGGGAAGTCCAAGCTCAGCCTGCACCTCTGTCATGTCTCGCCTTTTTTTCCAGCTGTAGGAGAAGGCGGATACAGCTTTTTTGCAGACCCCTATGGCCCGATCGATCCTTGGATCCTTCACACCACTCTCTGAAATAAATGTGAAGACATTTAGTATATTTTTTGTCACGCCAAGCTTAAACTGCATTACAATTGTTTTGTACTTTTATCACAATTTTAATAGCTGTAACACAGTTTAATGCATAATGCAGATTAAGGAAAAGTCAGGTTTATTTATGTAACCCAGTCTGTGTGTAAACCAGTTGAAATATATACCATATTCTGGCTATTAAATTACAAGCAAACAGTGCTTTACAATGTACAAGTATGTGCACCTATTTATTTTTACACCAACTCTTACCTATAGCGTTGTGGAGTCTGTGGCCAAAACACTGCAGGCTGGGCCAGTTGTTGTCCTTAAGAGCTTTTATGATGTTGGTGCCACTATCAGTTGTCATGCAGACGAGTCGTTCCTCCGAAAGTCCCCAGGAGCTGAGAGCGTCTTTTAAGCCATGGGCAATTATTTCACCAGTGTGGTTGTCGGGGAAATACGCTGTCTGAAGGCAGATGCTGCGCAGAGTCCAACTAGTGTTGATGTAGTGAACCGTCAGGCTCAGATATGGCTGCATCGTCCGGCTGGACCACAGGTCCGTTGTGGCTGAGTAGAACTGCATCTCCTCCAGCTCACTGCGGATCTTTTCCCGGGTTGTATTGTACAGGTGAGGCAGCGCTACATCGGCGAAATACTTGCGACTGGGGACAACGTACCTCGCATCCAACACTTTCAGCAAGTGATTAAAGCCTCGCTTTTCAACAGAGTAAATCGGCAGCATGTCTGTGGCAATATAAAAAGTGACCGCCTCTGTAATCGCTTTCCATCGCGCTCCGTTCTTGTCATAAGGTACACAGTTTGTAAAGCTCTCAGGAAGTGTAGTCTGCTTTTTAGCAGGTGTGCTAGAGGAGCCGCTGTCGCTGCGGAGCCGGCTGCACTTCTCCCATTCTTCGGGATGTTTATTCCTCAGGTGCTGAAAAAGATTTGTTGTACTGCTGCTTCCAGTAGCAACAGTTTTGAAACATATTTTGCAGCAAGGCTTCGTCTGTGTTTCGTCTGCTGGATGAAAACCAAACCAGTTCCAAATTACGGAATTACTTGTGCCTTTCTTTGGAAGTAGTTCTCTGCTACACGCTGCCGCTGCCATGTTGTTTTGACTGTGTAGGCAGAGGCGGGCGGCGGCTGGCTCATATCGCGCTACGGCAACAAAACAAGGACAAAACGCGGAAAAGTCCGAAAAAAACTTTAGTGTCAAAAAATTCGAGTTTGCAAAATAAAAATCGTTTTAAACTACAAAATCGATAAATAGATTAAATCGATTTTTTGCCCAGCCCTAATCCTGGCAGTGGCGAAAGACATCAAACGGCGATATCAAATGTAATTTCCTTCTTTTGGTTTAGTAACGGGCGGAAAAAACTCAGGGGTCTTGTGATCTTGTGAGTTGAGCAAGGAGCGCAGCAGAGAAGCTGATTTGCGGTTTACCCCTCCTTTCCACTGGAGCCGTGACGGAGCCGTCAGCAGTAAGTCACTGCAGCAGCACGTCATAGCTGCTGATGGGAACCGCTGTGGTCAACAGAACCTTTTCCACCGGAGCCGTCAGCAGCGCGAGTCGCCCGCGTCTCAGGAGCAGCATGTCGCGGCCTTTACGCGCCAGTTCTATTTTCTACGCGCTACGCCTCTGAAACGGGTCAAGTTTGACATTTTTGGGGAAGGAAGGACAGGAAATCGGACGCGGAAACGGAGCGAAGCTTCCCGAGATGTTCAGAATAAAGAACGTACTGCCTTCCGGTTGCTTTACTTTAAAAAAAAAAAGGTTACTAACTGTGCGGCCCCGTGATAAGTTATCACCTAGCTAGCGGTCTCCTTTGTTTTTCAGGTCCGTATTGGCGATTATAAAACGGACAGAACATAAAACACAAACCCTTTGGAGCCATGTTGTAGTTTTCTCCTGCTTGTTGTTGTGTTTACTGACAAAGTCACAGTGACAGCTGCTCCCCCGCTGCTACGCCTCTGGTGGGAAGGGCCGAGCAGCAGCTTACGCGAGCAAGACGTGCTGCTGACGGCTCCGGTAGAAAGGAGGGGTTAGACTCTCCCGGTATGCTCTGGGGTGCAGTGATTGTTGCGGGGAAACCTTTTAGCTACCGTTCCTCTAGCCGTTCCAGGCAACTGTTAGCTTGTACTAGCAGAGATGTTCTCTGCCGTTCCTGGACGCTAAACCAACAACAGCCTTACTCATGAGTCCATGAATGTTAAGTGTGACGAAGATCTGTCCGGCTTTTCTCATCATAGCATTTCACTGTATTTTATATCAGAAGCTAATACAGGAGATGGGTGTAGGAGACTATTTTCACGTTTAAAATAGCGTTGAGTTCAAAAATAAGTAAAAATATTTTCTCAGTGAAGGACCTCTTTTACCCTGCCGCTGTCCTTCTCGAGTGACCCCTTCATGATGAGATGGCATTCCTTGGTGTCCACTTGGCAGGGGCTAGGTGGTGCTCACTCCTAAACAAACAAACAAACAAACAAACAAACAAACCCACATGGGGTAGATCCTGTGTGTAGATCTTTGTAATAGGGACAAGACTCAAGAGGAAAGACTTGGGCATGGAGCTGTTGGGAGAATGGAAACGTGTGTGTTGGACTGGTTTCATGCATCACTGATAGTTTGGTTAAAGTACGTTTCTAAATTCAGGCTTTTAAAACAACCAGGAGCTAGGTTTATGACCACTGCTAGCATTTTATCTTTATCTTAACCTCTTGAAGCATCTTCAGCTCGGTTCCACTTGATCCTCCGGTAAAACTCAGAATACGACAAAGACGAAACGTGGCTTCTGAGTTTTTTAGTGTTGGATGACTGTCATGCTTCCCCAAACATCTGTGAAGGTTTAGCAGCAGTTCGTGTCAGGATGTCACCACTGACCTGTCTGCCTTTCTCCTCAGGAGCGCGCTGGCCGTCACTGTGGGGCCCTGCGGGTACTGAGCTCCTACTGGGTGGGTGAGGACTCCACCTACAAGTTCTTTGAGGTCATTCTGATTGACCCCTTCCACAAGGCTATCAGACGCAACCCAGACACCCAGTGGATCACAAAGGCTGTGCACAAGCACAGAGAGATGCGTGGCCTGACCTCTGCAGGAAAGAAGAGCCGTGGCCTCGGAAAGGGCCACAAGTTCCACATGACCATTGGAGGCTCCCGCCGTGCTGCCTGGAGGAGGCGCAACACTCTGCAGCTGCATCGTTATCGTTAAAACACGCCTGTACATTACAAATAAAGTCAGCCCTTTTTACGGTCACACCTGTCTTGTTTTTGTCAGCTCAGTGAGCAGCCCAGTGAAAACACATGAATGTGGTTTCTAAAGCTGGTATTAAAAATGTTCATTTAAATAAGATCTGATTAGCTGAGAGAACGCCACCAGTTGAGTGGGATCCAAGGGGAATTGAGGAGATAACCTCTGGTCTGCCCCAGTACTTGACTAGTTAGGGACAGCAGTAGCTCAGGAGGCAGTGGGGTTGTCCAGTTTGGACAAGATCTTATCCATGTTACCTGCTGGTGGTGGTCGGCAGACCGTCCCAGGACAGATGTGGCTACATCGTAGCTCATCCCCAACTGGGTGGATGACTTGAAGTGCCTTGGGGCGTTGTAGAACCCAAAGAAGTTGCTATAACAAATACAGGTCTTAACTATTTTAATTAATATTTTGCATTAATAACATTTTAAAAGTATACGATTCTAGTGTCTGATTATGCTCAATTGCTTAATCCAATTTAAGAAAATAAAGATGTTCATACTGCCAATACCAGTTTACATCAGCAGTTGGTAGAGTTGATCTTTTTTTTTTTTTTATTTAGGGAATAAATTAATGCTGTTCTGATCTCCATGGGTTCAGAGGTCTTCCCAATGTGATGGGACAGAGATCTTGTCTTATCCCATCCCAGTAGGGAGCCAGGTGGCTCACATCTAATAAAAGGCAGCTGCCTGCTCTTCCAGCGGAACAGCCCTTTTTACGGTATGGCACTTCAGGTGCTGGGGTACTGAGAGACTCCAACTGCTAGCTGCAATCGTAAGTACTCTCCCTCCTGTGTTGCCTGCGCGGCGATAGTTCATGCTCATTTCTCTCCATTGTAATTTGTTTGTAGCGTGCGATCGCTGAGTGGAGCTGTGCATGAGGTTATAGGGTTAACACTGCATCCAGGTACTCCATGTCAGCTCTGCCTGTGTGGGTGTGACAGCCTTATGAAGACTGATCTGATCCAGCGGCGCAACTACCGCAAGTCCTCGCTTCGGTTTGGAGGGTTGTGCTGATCCAGGGGGACCATGACAGTTTCGTTCGTTTACAGTGTGGCTCCAGCGCTGGTTGGCGTAAGAGCCGTTTAGTCATCCGGCTTTGCCTGCAGCGCTCCACCGAGATCGGCTGGGCATCTGACGTTGTCGGCAGTGCACAGGTGTCGGTACAGGATCGGCTCGGGGTCCTTCGACTGCCGATGACGTCAAAGTAGTTGATTGGCTGAACATGAAGCTTACGGATGTTACGTTATCACGTTATGATTTTGATTGGTCAGAACAAATTAGCGGTCGTAGTAGGTTGTAGTCCTGTAGTCCAAAAATCAACACTTATTGGAGAAAACATGTTGGAATTTCTAAAGGAAATGTAAAATATAAGCAAATGATAAACGGTGAGTCTAAAAAGCTCTTGATGTTGATGAAATGGGGCAAAATAAAATATAACAACTTTATTGAAAGACACCAAGCAATATTTTGAGTCAAAGAATGTATTTAGATAACAACTAAGGAAATTTGCAGACGAACTCCACATTAATACAAACAGATGTGGCTTCACATAAAAGAAAAGTTCTATTTTTTGTCAGTCCGATGTTGGTTTTATGCAGTTTCACATACTTAACAAAACAAAGATAATATGGTGTTTTATTAACAAATTACAATTATAAAGAAAACATTTAGGTGTTAACAAACAAGAATTTATTAACAAAACTGCTGATGTCTTTCCAAAACGTGTTTTTTTTATTTAGTAAATTTACAAACAAACATGGCACTTTGACAATGTTAAGTCCAAAACTTAAATTCAAAAGGAGCAGTTAACATGCTATAACATTTGTAAATATCTACTAATAAGACAACAAGAGACAAAAGAACACAAAGAACAGGTAGAGTACACCTTTCAATGAGGGTACAGCATTTATCATATCGAAATAGGAAATCTTTGGAAGTTCAACTAACATGTTATATAGATTTTTGCTATATTTGTTGAGGTGTTTCAGGGATTTTAAATATAATTGAAATTCTATTAAAAAACATTGAAGACAGGATGATTGTAAAATTCGTTGTTTATGGATAAAAAAATTTGTCTAAACAGAGGATGATGATATAGCAGTTATTTATCTTTATTATTGAATAGAATTCCAAATATTATCATATCTTTAGTGATGTGAACTGGGAGGGGTATTTTAGTTTTGATCCACACCTCTAGCTTTTTCCAGAACAATTGTTTTCTGACATTCATAAAATATATGATCTATAGTTTCTATGTGAGTTTCGCAAAAAGAGCAGTTGTTGCTATCAATATTAAAACGAGCTCTTTTGAAGGATAGATTGCATTCATAATTTTAAAGTGGGTTTCTTTAGCTTTTGGTGGTATAGGTAATTTTAGGTAGATGGTTCTTATTTTCTCAACAGACGTTTTATCATCATCGTTATTTTTGTTTGTTTTTCCAGGAAATAGAGATTCATTTAAAGCGGATCTTATTGTAAGATTGTTGCATTTTCTGTCATTTAACAGAAGACCTTTAATAGATAAGATAGGAAGGGTTGGAATAGAAGATTGATGTTTTAGATATTCTCGGGCTTGGATGATAAACTGTTTTGGAAGTGCATTATGTAACCTGTTAAAGTCAAGTTCAGAAGCCTTAAAATCTTATCTTCTGCAGAAATATTCATAATTCAAGAGCTGACCATCTACATCCATTAAGTGTATAATAGACCATATATTGTTATCTAACCAATCTTTATAGAATAACGATTTGTTTCGGTGCAATATAAATTGATTGTTCCAAATGATTATTGAGTGTGGTGAGTAGTTATGTACATATATCATTTTCCAATACAATAAAATTTGTTTATGGAACTCTGAAAGTTTAATGGGGAGTTTGTTTATATTGTAGTCAGTTAGGAGAAGAATTTTTAAGCCACCAATTTTGTTAAAGATGTAATTGTGGATACTATACCAAAAGGCGTGTGGGTGATTTAACCAAAATTTTAACCAGTTAATCTTTAGGGTGCCATTAAGACATTCAAAGTCAATGACCTTTAAACCTCCATCTTTTATTTCTTTAGTCATATGAGCCTTTTTAAGGTAGTGTGGTTTGCTTCTCCAAAGTTACAGTTTGATTTATTTTTTTAATTAGGTAGTTTGGTAAGGCAAGGTTACAGGATGGGTAAACTAATCTTGATAAACATTCCATTTTGGTGAGATAGATACGACCTAGAATAGAAAGGTCACGTTGGAGCCACAGGTTAAGTTTAGAATTTCCTTATTTCAGTTTATTTTCAAAGTTTCAGACTGAATTAAGTTTAGGGTTTTTGTTAATGGTCACTCCTAGATATTTAACCTCAGATTTTATAGGGATATTATGTATTTCTTTTAAGTGTGTCGTGGTTAGCTTACGTTCTCTCTGCAGCTGTTCACCGATGTAAACATGTTGCTGACTTTGCCTAAATTCACCCCTCTGGATTTATAACTTTATGTTATAAACAACGTTTCACTTTACACCAAAGCTGATTTTTAAAACGTCCGGATCCCTACCAGCTTCTGTTGCTGGTGGTGTTGCCGGGTTCAGCTGCTGCTCTCACACCGGAATGAGAAGATCTCTGAAAGGCGACGCTCATGTTAATAAATAACGTAATTTTAACACACGTAATCATACATCGGAGCTTTAATATTGTTAATAATTGTCTCGCTTTACACTTCAGTGGATGGCGCGCATCCTCCGTGGTGAAATACCATCCATCAGGATTATCAATGACTTGTATAAACACATCATATTTATCCCTGTCCCTGTCTTCCTCGTGAAATAAATGAACGTTAACCTTACCCGGTAAAAACATGCTCGCTGCAAATCTGAGGCCTGCTAGTCCGCTTGATTGATTGCTGACTAGCTTCACTGGAGTTTCAACGGGTGTAAACAGTCTTTTTGCCGTCCATCATGGCGAAGGTGGCGGTCTCATGAGTGGCGTGACGTCACGTGCAAAAAAGTGTATATGCCAGACCCAGGCTGGAGTTTGATGAGAGTGCTGCTCTGAACTTTATGGATCAAATCCCTGATGTGCGTACAGTTAAAGATCAGATGAGTTTCTGTGATAGGCCGATATCTGTTAGTGAAGTGCTACCTGCTATTCGACGTCTCAAACTTAATAAATCCCCAGGAACCGACGGCTTAACCTCTAAATTTTACATTACTTTTGCAGATCAACTGGCTCCATTTCTTCTTAATGTATACATTGAAAGTCTCATAAATCAATCTCTTCCCCCCACTTTATCACAAGGTCTGTTAACCCTAATCCCGAAGCCGAAGAAAGATCCCACTCATATTGATAATTGGAGGCCAATTTTCCTCCTTAATAATGATTATAAGATCCTAGCCCAGATTTTTGCCAAAAGACTGAAAGCTGTTTTGAATGATATAATTGATGAAACTCAGTCTGGCTTTATGGCTAACAGACACATATCCAACCACATTAGACTTGTCTTTGACCTAATTGATCATGCAGATTTGTGTGAGGATGATAGCTTTATCTTACTCGTAGATTTTTGCAAAGCGTTTGATACGATTGAACGTGGTTTTGTTTTTCAGGCTTTGGACAAATTTGTCTTTGGTTCTTATTTTCAGAATGCAATTAAAACAATGTGCAAAAATGCAAATTGTTCCATCAAACTACAAGCAGGCACGTTACCTAGGTTTAACTTGAACCGCGGTATCAGGCAAGGCTGCCCCATCTCCCCATACTTATTTCTCATCTGTGCCCAACTCCTTTCTGATTAAATTAAACGCAGTCCTCTGAAAGGTATAACAATTGCGGATAAAGAAATATTCATTAGTCGACTTGCTGATGATACCACTCTCTTTTAAAAAAAAAAAAGCTTCACAGGTGCAAATGGCTATTAACACAATTAATGCCTTTTCTTTAGCTTCAGGACTCCACCTAAACATTGGCAAATGTGAACTGCTTGCCCTTAGAAATTGTAGCAGTCTATCTATCGCTGGCATCCCGGTGAAAGAGTCTGTCAATTACCTTGGTATCATCATTAATAAAAATCATTCCACCAGGTGCTCCCTTAATTTCACTCCAATTTTGGACAAAACACAACGTAAGCTAAATGCTTGGCTGCAGCGGGATTTATCCATTAAAGAGAGAGTTTTACTGACAAAAGCAGAGGGCTTATCCCGTCTAACTCATGCTGCTTTGTCTCTGGATGTAAATAAAGAAACCCTGGCAGATATTGACAGACTTCTTTATAACTTCTTATGGAAGAACAGAATTCATTACATTAAAAGATCAGTTTTATCCAACTCGTACCAACATGGTGGAGTAAACTTTCTGGATTTCTCCTCATTAAATAATGTGTTTAAAATAAACTGGATTAAACAATTTTTCAGGAACCCAACCTCAATTTGGAACTTCATTCCCAATTATATATTTTTTAAAATTGGTGGTCTTAACTTCCTTTTGCGATAAAATCCCTTTAAAACTATCCAACTTTCATAAATAAATGCTTCTTTCCTGGTCATTGATTTATAAACACAACTTTTCTCCACATAGATTCTATATTTGGAACAATCGAGACATTTCATATACAAACATAAGTCTGTGTTTTAAGTAACTGGTTTGATAATGGGATTCATGGTGTTGCACAACTTATAAATCCTGTTGGAGGTTTACTCTCTTACTCAGAATTTGTGAATACATATGGTCTTCCTGTTCCACCAAAGGAATATGCCATAGTGTTTGATGCTATCCCTGCTGGGGTCTTAATGTTGTTTAGAGATCCTGTTGTTAATGATTTGACCCCCTCACCGCTGGATCCTACTGTTACTTATGCTGGTCAGGTGTGTTTCCCGTTATAAAGAGGAAAAACAACCGTGAAATACGAACTCTGTTTCAAAAAGACAGAACCTGTGTCCCAACGGCTGTCGCCTACTGGAATAACTTATACCAGGACCTGGAATGGGAGAAGATTTGGACCTTACAGTCAAAATTTCTATTAAATAACAAAGTAAAGGAAATATCTTTTAAAGTTATTCATCGTTTTTACCCAACCAGATCTTTTCTTATACGTTATAGAAAGGAAATTGATGTTAACGGTACATTTTATAACTGTGTGGAGGAAGATATTTCTCATTTATTTTGGTCATGCTTATACACAAATCTTTTCTGGCAAGAATTTGGGGTTTTTGTTGTTTCCTTAATCTTTTCTGAGTTCTCTCTTTGTTATGAGGAAATATTATTTGGTTTCTTTAAGTACCCCAAGCACAGGGCAAACGAATTTTATTTGATTAATTTATTGATATTATTAGCTAAATTTCATATACATAAGTCGAAATTTTCTAATGCAAAACCTTCCTTTCAGTGCTTTTTAAATGAAACCAGACAATATATAAAAACCATACAACATTCTCAAAATTTGAAAGCTGTCAAAACTTATGTTCCCTGTTCAATATCATCTAACTCTCCTTTCACGTGTCTGAGCAGAACCTCCCTGAACCGTCTACAGGTGGTTCAGAATGCCTGTGCTCGGCTTCTGACCAAGTCCTCCAAACACACCCACATCACCCCGCTTCTCCTCCAGCTTCACTGGCTGCCAGTCAACTTCAGGGTTCATTTCAAGATCCTGGTTCTGGTCTATAGGGCCTTACATGGACAAGCACCATCTTACATTGGTGATCTTCTTAGTCCCTACACCCCCAGCAGGTCCCTGAGGTCCAGTGATCAAAGCCTACTGGGTGTGCAGCACCAGGCTAAAGGTCAAAGGTGACAGATCATTTGCTGCTGTGGCCCCCAGACTCTGGAACTCTCTCCCCCTGAGCCTGAGATCAGTGGACTCAGTGGTCTCCTTTAAAAAGCAGCTGAAGACTCACTTGTTCAAGCTGGCTTTTGTGTGACCTTCTTCACCACTCTCTCTTTATTCTGCTCTCCCCACCTATTCCACCTTCCTCAGGATCCACTGATTTCCCTCTTTCCTATTCATTCTCTCTCTCTTAACATTTTTTCTTTTAAATCCCAATTGCCTATTTTTGCTCATTTGAAATATATTTTTAAACATTTTCTAAATGCTTTTTTATATTTTAACATTTTGTTTTTGTGAAGCGCCTCGTGATTTTTATCTTAAGAGGCGCTATAGAAATGCTATTTTCTTCTTCTTCTTCATGTGATTCTTTGTTAGACTCTTTTGTTTTCCCATAGAAACCCCCTGGCATTGTGCTTGTAGTTTCTTTGTAGTTGTATTATGTGCTTTGTCAATAAAGCGCATTCAAGGGGGAAAAAAAAAGAAAAAGACCCAGGCTGGAGAGAGGGAGGAGTCAGTCCGTCATCTGGGTCACATGGTCGCGCACTGGCGTCTGTGGAGCAAGTCCTCCTCACTAGGAGCTGCACCGGCAATTTAACCGGTTTCTCGTCACTGAATGGAGATCGGTGAGTGCCGGTAACCCGGAGCGGGCCAAGCGAAGCAGAACCTTTCAGGAAGTTATCTGAAACAGGCGGTTCTCTGCGTGCTCACAGCAGCCTTTTCCCTTCGGACTGCCCCAGAACCATCCACAGAACTCGACCTCTGTGCAACATTACTTTTAAACGAACCAATCAGCGACTTTCTAGTTGCTGAACACCAAATCTGGAAAAACGGCTTCGAGGTAGCAGAAGGAAACACAGGATGGAGTCGAGCAAAGCAGGTGAGTTGTGTTTAACCTCCTCAGGGTGACAGTGGAGATAAACGGGTTTGGTAAAGTTAAGACTAAAATACAAAAGTTATCCCAGTGTTCACTTTCGGATTGTGCGGCTCCGTGAGGTTCCGTGTCAACGTTAAAGTGGGTTAGGAGGTCCGGGGGCTGCTGCTGCTATTACCCAAGAGGTTCGGTTTGGCAGCGATGCAGTCTCCTCCTCACATGGACCTGACAACCCAGCCATGTGCGCCCGTGTTTACGCTCCCCGTGCGCCTCCGCTCATTGGCTGCGCGGGGTGGTGACGTGGGCATTACATAATTTGCCCCACTCCAAAAGTGTGGACTCTGTGGCGGAGACACGTGAGGTGCGTGGCGGAAGCGCGAGCACTGACCACTGACCCAGTTTTAACAGGTGGAAACATGCTAGGTCCACGTGGGGGCGCGGGGCAGAAAAATAAATAAATTAATTAGTTAATTAATTAATTAATTAATTAATACTAAATAAATCTCAGAATAAAGGAAGAAATTCATGTTTTTTCTCTTTTATTGTTATTAATGTGCTTCAAAGGCAAATACATTCTTGAAATAACTCAGCGAGGAGGTAGAATCAGGCAGAATGAAAGCTTTAATAAGCTGATGAGGTTCACTAAGATACATTAAAGAAGATGCAGTTTGTCAGAGCAGTTATTTTATTTCCTGGGATTATAGATATGATTTATCATGAAGTGATAAACACATAATATGATAATAAACTCAGATTGTTGACTTTCTGATTTAGATGCAGCTTGTCTGTTGAAGTGATATTTTTTAGAAACATTTAGCATCTTTTAGTCTTTTTGTTTTTTTCTCCCAACCGCAGAAGCAAAAATAATGTTACTATTGTTGATATCAGATGGCTTTGCACTGCATTTTTAATCATCCTGGTTATTTTTGATGTAGGATTTTACTGCTGACACGGGGCGCTTTTGATGGGACTTTTGCTCTAATTACCTATTCAACTTCCTGTTTCATGTCATCTGCTGTGATTTGACAAAGTCTTTTAAAGAAATCACACATTTCATGCATTTAATGTGTCTTATAAAGCACATTAGACATTTTCTTTTGTGAGAAATGTAGGATAAGATCTGTAAATGTATCTGGCTGCAGCCTGCAGGGCTGGAACAGAGGACCCTCCACACACAGCCATGTGAAGCTGACATTATGTAAGGGCTGTTACCTAACGAGATGGGCAGGGTAAGAAATCAGGTCAGCCTGTGTTGCAGAGGGGATCTGTGTGAATGTGTGTGTGACTGGATGGATGATACACTGTAGTGTAAAGTGCTTTGGAGTCCTTACTCTGAGAGGCGCTATACAAGTGCGGGTCATTTATCATCTCAGCTCCGTTCAGCCGCAGCAGCCTGTCTGCCTCCCACCAGCCGAGGAGACTGTTGTTTTCTGATTTGGCCTCTTTAAGTTAAGCTGGTTAGTTCTGCTCAGGGCTGCGTCTGGGGCTGCTGGCCGAGTTCCCTTTCACTGGAGGGGAAGGAACCAGCAGGGGGACAGCTTCAGCTGAGACAAGTCCAGATCTGAGGGTGAGGAAATGAGAAGAGCACCAGCTACAGAGGGGCCTGGCTCTGGAGATCAATGCAGCACACGCTGTGTTCACTACAAACAAGATTCATGAAAATAACAAAGTTTAACATTTTAGAAGAAAATGATAAAATAAGGCTTTTAGAAAAAGAAATGAGTTCAACTTTTCACCAACAGATCAGGTACTTATAGGTGTGGTTGACTGTTTTTCTGATTATAATCGATCACTGAGTTTTTCATGCAGGCTGAACATGAAATAGTCTCCTACACGCATCTCTTGCATTAGCTTCTGATAGATAATAGATTGTGAAACTCAAGGATTTGCAAACCCTCACAGATCTGCGTCACACTGTGAATTAACATTCATGGAGTCATCCATCTTGACTGACGACGGGGAAGGCTGTTGTTGGTTTAGCATCCAGGAATCTGCAGCAAACATCTCGGCTAGCCTAAGCTAACTGTTAGCAATAGCAGCTTCACCTCACGACATCCACATTGCACATCAGGGGTAGAGTCGCATTGCTGTTATCCAATCTGGGCGTAGATGTCCAAATATCAGGAAGTAGGACTCCAAATCCTGCCGTCTGAAGCTCAGCTGTGATGTCACAGACTTGGCCCTGCTGAGCCAAGGATTTGTCGTGCCCTGAGTACTGCCTGTAAGGCGTTCATTCCTATTAGAGACCACTGCAAATGTATTGATGAAACGAGTAATCCACAACTTTAATGCAGCCTAATTAGACAACGTCTCACACCCCATGGAGCTGGGCAGCTCCTTCAGTGGCAGACAGCTGCATCCTAGGTGCATCACCATCGGTCCTACTTCCCAGTGCTCTTTCTATTCTATTCTAACATATCTTGCCTCTCAGCAAGAGGGCTGCTGGTTTGAATTCCAGCTGCTGCCTTCTTGCATGCGTGTTTGCAGAAACCGCCTCTGAGATCAGAAGACAAAATCTCCCATCATGCTGAGAAATGACGTTTTGGAATAAGTTCAAAGCCTGTTTCAGGAGGACTTGGTGTGTCTGTGGATCAGTGGGTTGTTTGGGGCTACACCCCCTCGACTCGTCTGAATCTGGGGTTTAAAGGTGGATATGAGTGGGTGTTTTAGTGGAAGTGCTTTGTGTGGTCCAGATGACTAAGAAGTGCTCTGTAAGCATAGTTGGAGGTTGTTAAGCACCTGGTTCTGCTCCTCCTCCCTGCATCACCAGGAGGTGTTATAGCCTACATCAGCTCATCCAGCTCCTCCTCCTGCCCGGAGTCATGCCACAGCGACTCCTCGAACGGCAGCTACCAGTCCTTCTCCCCCCCCCAAAGCCAGCAGGGAACCGGGGGCCAGAACCTTCCAGTGGCTCAGAAAGGCAGACGCTCTTCGTCTTCGGGGAAAGGAGGTGTCACAAGTAAGCAGACGACTTCCACACGTGTTCTCAGGGGGAGTTCCCGGCTTTGAGGTCATCATAAATGAGATGTTTTCAGCTCTTCACACAGACGTAATAATAAATTGTTTATAACTGTAATAATGGTTAAAGGAGACGGCAGTAGTTCTCCGTCAGCATCCGGTCCAGTTCCTCAGCTAGTGTCAGTGGAAAAGAGGCGATTCTGTCGGAAACGTAGAAATATAAACCTTAGACAAAACATAAAGAACATTTTCACGTTTATTCATTTATTAATTTTAATTCACTGTGTCCAATTGGATTTACGTGCTTATCTTTTTTCTTATTTGTTAGTTTTTTTTTAATCTGTTTTGAGGTTAAACTTGTAGAACATGTGATGAACGACGTTTCTGGTCCATTCAGAGATCAACGGTCTGGTGCTGCTCTGCAAGGTGTGTGGAGACGTGGCCTCAGGTTTCCACTACGGGGTCCACGCATGTGAGGGCTGTAAGGTGAGGGGGCTCTCTGAACACACACACACACACACACACACACACACACACACACACACACACACACACACACACACACACACACACACACACACACACACACACACACACACACACACACACACACACACACACACACACACACACACACACACACACACACACACACACACACAGGTTCAGGTAGGAGGCGGTGGACAGAGCTGAGTAAACATACAGGATGGTACACATTGGGACTGATTCCATCAGTAGGAAACAGGTTCACTGATGATGTCATCATCCAGGTTATTGTATCAGAGTGAAGAGTTGAAATGCATCACGGACGTCTGGAACGTCTCTGCGAGTGAACATGAGACATGTGGGAACCAAATTGTGATCAAAATGAGGGAAAACCCAGATCAAAGAGAGACACACGGCACAAATGCACTGGTTCTTGAACATGAACGGTTCCTCCAGCAGGTGTTGTCTCCAGCCTGGTGACCATACTAGTCACCAGCAGTCCAGCCCATTGACATCTGGACTATAAAGGCAGAAATCATTTGGGGTTTGTTGAACATGAGCCATGTGTTCACGATGACCTCTGACCCCACAGGGCTTCTTCAGGAGGAGCATCCAGCAGAACATCCAGTATAAGAAGTGCCTTAAGAATGAGAGCTGCCCCATCATGAGAACCAACAGGAACCGGTGCCAGCAGTGCCGCTTTAAGAAATGCCTGACGGTGGGCATGTCCAGAGACTGTGAGTACCCGTGTCCTCCCAAACCAGATCAGACCGGAGTCACACTGTTGGACAAAATGTCCCTGATAGTTGACTGATGTCCCAGGGTCCAGCTGGGATGCCACTGGGTTGTAAAGTGTTTGGACATTACCCTCGAGTTCTCGTTAAGACGCACCAGAACAGTCAGAATGGGACAAACGTCTCATTTAGTTCTGATGGTGGACGGCCGTCGCTCAGCTTCTGTTTGCAGAATCAAATAATTGTATTCTGATTACATTTTTCTTTCAGGTACATCAGCAGGTTAAAAGCTACATGAATCAGAATCAGCACCGTCCCACTCTAACCAGCCGTGGGCGTCTTTAGACTCATTTTACAGTGGAACACCACCGCTAACCTGTAGACTCTCCTCTCTGCTCAGCGGTCCGCTTTGGTCGCATCCCGAAGCGGGAGAAGCAGCGCCTGCTGCTGGAGATGCAGAGTGCCATGAACAACATGATGAACAGTGACCAGCTGTGCGACGCTCCAGATGTGCCCATCGCCAAAGTTCTGCCGGTAGAGCCTGGCCCCTCTTTGTCATCACCACTCTCAAGCCAGTCCGACTCCGGCCCCGACCCGGGGTTAGGGTTAAGGTCCATGTCCATGGACACCGAGTCCAGCTCGGCCTCGCCCAGCTCGGCCTCGCCCAGCTCCTCAGACAGCAGCGAGGAGGAGGTGATCTGCTCCGTGACCCGTGCTCATCAGGAGACCTTCATGTACAACCAGGAGCAGAGCAAACTCCCAGTGGAGCCGTCGCCGGCCCGCCCGATCTGGGTCGGCACTGACCAGGAGGGTCGGGACGCCTGGAATCACAGGAACAACTCGGTAACCACGATGGGCCAAAACCTGCCCCCCAACCTGGGTTGTCCTCTAGGAAGCGAGGACAGCACCCCCCCACAGTGTCCCTTCAGACTGTCCCAGAGTGGAGCTGACAGTCACAGTCCCACCTACATCCACGGGGCCGTCCGAGCCCCGCCCACAGGGGCCAACGCGACCTACAGCAAGCTGGTGTGGCCCGGAGGGAACCGGATGTATCTGGTAGGGTTCTGCTGAGGATCACATACGACCTCCTAACTGGATCCACCATGACTAATGTTCTGACCCCTTACTCTGTCCAGGTGTGTCCCATGAACACGTCTCCACACGTGGACTCTCTGAAGGCTGGCCATGAGGTGTGGGAGGAGTTCTCCCACAGCTTCACCCCTGCTGTCAGGGAGGTGGTGGAGTTTGCCAAGAAGATCCCGGGCTTTAGAGACCTGTCTCAGCACGACCAGGTCAGCCTGCTGAAGGCCGGCACGTTTGAGGTACACCTCCCGTTTGATTGGCTCTGTCCAGGTGCTGCCTGAGGCCCAGAACCTACAGACCAGGGGTCTCCTTTATCAAACATTGCGTAGAATCCTTACTAAAACCGTACTTAAGCTCAGCAAAAAATACGTACTTACGCCAAGCAGGTTTGTGATCTATCAAACATGGAGTACGCACAGCTGCACGCAATCTCCGCTTCGTAAATCAGAGACTAACAAGAAAGGTTTTCAGCTGCATTTTAGTCACATCCCGCCCTCACCACGCCCACTTTCTGCCATAAATGATCAATGCAACGTGCCTTGTGGATCTCATGCATATACATAAGCCGGCTTGTTTCAGCATTTCGATCACGACCGCAGATCAAGGAAGCGCTATTTCACAAGCAGAAATTCAGGTACCTGTGGGTGAGGTGGAGAAATGAAAGGAAGTGCTTTTGCAAAACAAATAAGAGAAAATCCACGGAGTGGCACAGCGTTGCTGAAGCCGTCAATGCTGAGTTCTTCAGAGAGATCTGTGGTGGATATAAAAAAATGGTCCAATCGGGATTCGATCCTCAGACTCCCGGGTGAAAGTCACGCGCGCTAACCAGTCATGCAAACGGAGATCTCCTTTGTCTGAGTAGCCAGGGCGCATGAGCAATCGGGTCACAGTGACAGGACACACACTGTCACAGACGCATGTCTCAATCTGTCCCCCTGCTGATGTTCTGCATTCCGTATTCTGCACTTCAGGTTGTATGTGTGTGTGTGTGTGTGCGCGTGGGGGGTCTTGTTCTGTGTGAAAACGAAGCAGTAACAGTGATAATGCTGCAGGATTTCATAATTGTATCTCCTCAGCAGCAGCACTGCAGGTGTTCTCCATGTCCAACATGTGTGTAAGCAAGGTCCTTAGTCAACTTAAAGTTGCGCACATTTTTCCGCTAAGTTTTCTTTCATAAATCCCAAAGTTTGCGTGGAAAGTTGCTTACGCAGTTTTCCGACCCCGTTTTGTGCGTAAGCAAGCTTGATGAATGAGGCCCCCGGTGTTCTGCTGCTCTGCAGGTGTTGGTGGTTCGCTTTGCCTCCCTGTTCAATGTGAACGAGCGCACCGTCACCTTCCTGGGGGGACAGAAGTACAGCGTGGACACTCTGAGGGCCATGGGCTCTGGAGACCTCCTCAACTCCATGTTGGATTTCAGTGAGAAGCTGATGAACCTGGGCCTGAGCGAGGAGGAGATGAGCCTCTTCACTGCTGTGGTTCTGGTCTCTGCAGGTGAGTCATGAGCCGTTAGACCTCCAGATGTGAAAAAGACCCGACAATGATGGGGTGGTGGGGTTTGTGCCAGTTTGGATGTGTCCTCAGTGAAAAGTACTTTGCCCAAGAAGTAGAAAGGAAGGAATATTTCTTAATCGGTGACTGAAGTCAGTTAAACATCTGGGATGGTGCTCTGGTTTAGTGTGTGTGTGTGTGTGTGTGTGTGTGTGGGTGTTAAACAGCTGTTTGTGTGAGAATGACCTGAACAACAGGAGGACCTGTGTTTTAAAGCTCTAGGATAAATTATTGGACAGGAAACCGATTTCAGCCCTTTCAAAGTTTTTGTTACCAACCTTCCATATGCTGCAGCTTGTCGTGGTTCTAAAGTGAAATCTAGATGGCAACTCACTTTAATACAGCAGCACTTCAATAAAAAACACACGAGGCAACGGTTCAATCCTAACTTAGTTACGGGCCCTGTAACGAGAGCTTTAGCTGACATAATCACTATAAGCTACCCCTGGATCGGTCCCCAGCCCTTTAAGTGTTGCCATCTTCCTAATATATGAAAACCAGGAAACTGTGTGCAAAACAAGACAACATAATGAGTCTTTGGGTGTTTGCACCTAAATAAGTGTGTGTGTGCAATTAGACAAAGCAATCCCGCCAGTTTAGACCAGATTCTGTTTCAGTGACCCGGTGCAGTTAACCCTAAAATAATCCAACAAGGACCTGGACCTGAACCCAGCTCTGAGTCTGTTGACGGGAAATGTTTGGTGTGGTGACACTGAGGCTTTTGGGAAGTCCCTCTGAGATCCGGCTTACTGAAGCCGGTTGTCTTGATTGATCTTTTCATGCTGCGTTGTCCTGTGCTTCTCCTCTTCCTCCCCAGATCGCTCAGGCATCGAGAATGTGAACTCCGTGGAGGCTCTCCAAGAGACTCTGATCCGGGCTCTGCGAAGCCTCATCACCCGGAACCACCCCAACGAGTCGGCCATCTTCACCAAGCTGCTGCTCAAGCTCCCCGACCTGCGCTCGCTCAACAACATGCACTCAGAGCAGCTGCTGGCGTTCAAGGTCCATTCCTAAACCGTCCTCTGGTTCTGAACCTCCCTCGACCTGGTTTGGACTTTGGAACCAGGATGGGCATTACCTCCACCCCTCACGGGACCTCTGTGTCCTGAGATCCGTTTCACAGCGAGGCGGATCAGAGCATCGTTGTACTGTAGGTGTGATTCGTGTTTGTTTAGCAGCTGTTCCAGCTTAAAAGCACTTTGTGTCTCTGGAATGTTTGCATTCATAGTGCAATATGTGAGTGGTTCTCTGGGTCCAGACGCTGAAGCAGCCTGGCCCGCTGGACTCTGGAGACGCAGCGTATTCCTCTGGGCCGCCAGAAAAAACAGAATGTAGCTTTTATTAGTTAGATGTTCTTGTGCCGTTCTTGTGTCTAAGCGGTTACATGGTGGACCTGACTACACACGGCTGATGCCGCTTCCCCCCCTCTTGTCTCCCTGAGGTCCTGGTGTCGCACTCGTTTCAGTTACTTGGGACAGAAACCTGCTTTAGCTGAGTGGTCCTCCACAAAACTCAGATGATTGTCATATTAAACTGTTATTTATGATTTGAAGCAGAGTTAAAGAGACATCAGAGTCACGTGAGTCCAGAATATCCAGAAGTAAATTTCTGTGTGTCATTTCCTCAGTGAAGCCATTACAATAACCTGAGTTATAAATAAGTACATATATGTATATGTAATATATATACTGTCAGAAATAACTATATAGATGAATATCTATAAATGCATTTTCTAAAACAAGTCAAAGTCTTATGTGTGTCTTTGTCGGTACATTGCACAAAAACTGTGCCTGCGTTTATGCATGCATCATAAATAAAATTGGCCCTGCCCCTTTTGCACATTTGATCCACATTTCACCGAAGCCTGCATTGGTGCAGAGTTTGAAGGGTATAAAGAAGTTAGCACAAACAGCGACTGGTATCCCCATTCGTTTGCTGCAAACTGGAAGCCTTACATGCACTTTCACTAAGTGCCCTTCACAGAGGACCGTAGGATGTAGTATGGGTATTGGGACTGAGCCTATATATGAGTGAAAAAGGTCAAAAATGGCACAGTCCCAGGTTTATTCAGATTGCCATGGTAACCGCCTATGAGACACATGCACAGCAACATGTTTGCACAGCCTTGCAGCGAGAAGGTCACAGGTTGGAACCCCGAGTGTGGTCTTTTTGGTTCCAGTTGGCATGGTTTACCTGTGAACATATGAGTTTGTGATCCCACAAAGCAAATGCAAACATAAACATCTGCATCCATGTGAATGCAATCCAACAACATAATCCATGAAGACTGCTGAATGCAGCCATTGTCAGGGAGCTTGGTTTAGCCTGATGTGTTGGTAGGCAGAGGAAATGACTGAGCTGAATGACGAGTTGATTCCCAATAAAACTGAATAAATAAGGTGCATTGCAGATGTGTGACCAAGTCACAAGTAAGTCACAAGTCTTTCCAGTCAAGCCTCGAGTCAAGTCCAAGTCAAAGACAACCAAGTCCAAGTCGAGTCCAAAGTAAACGAATTGGAAGTCCAAGTCAAGTCAGAGTCCTTTGAATTTTCAAGTCACAATCAAGTTATCTGTCCAACTTCTATTTAATGACAATGATGACAAATAAATTCCAGAATTAAAGCTTCGTTTATTTGCTCAAACCAGCAGAAAGTGCAACTGAAACCGATTCTAAACAAAGTGCTGCTGCATTTACAAGATCTAACCCAGAACGAAGAATGATTTATGGTTTGTGGCCACTTTTGTGCTAAAATATCAAATATGCTTAAGTCATCATCAAGTCAACAGATGCAAGTCGGTTCAAGTCGTTGGCGTTCAAGTCCGAGTCAAGTCGTAAATCTTTATAGATTTTATTAATTTAAATCAGAAGTCATTAAAATAATGACTCGAGTCCAAGTCATGTGACTGGAGTCCACACCTCTGGTGCATTGTGTACAAAATGGACCAGCTAACATCAAAATGGAACAGCTGACGTCCCAAAGGCTGCATGGTGCATACCCTAATTTTTTAGGTGTTTCTTTATGTTTTGAGGATGTTTATCACAATGTTATCTTTAGTATCGTAGTGCACTGCTGTTATCAGTCAGCATTCCCACTGCGGTGTGGATCTGAACATGGAGCTCCTAAAAGTGTCCGCACAGACGCTACTTGTGAGTGATCATGAAGTTAAAGACATTATATGAGCCAAACAGGAAGTGAGACATGGAACTGCAAGGTGCATCCGGTTTATTTTTAAATATAACCTGTGTCGCATTGCTTTAGCCCATAACCATGAATATACAGGTGCTGGCCAGTAAATTAGAATATCATCAAAAGGTTGAAAATATTTCAGTAATTCCATTCAAAACGTGAAACTTGTACATTATATTCATGCAATGCACACAGACCAATGTATTTCCGATGTTTATTACGTTTAATTTTGATATTTATAGGTGACAACCAATGAAAACATCAAATCTGGTATCTCAGAAAATTAGAATATTCTAAAGGCCAATGAAAAAATGTTTGTTTCTCTAATGTTGGCCAACTGAAAAGAATGAACATGAAAAGAATGTGCATGTATAGCACTCAATACTTAGTCGGGGCTCCTTTTGCCTCAATAACTGCAGTAATGCGGCGTGGCATGGACTCGATCAGTCTGTGGCACTGCTCAGGTGTTATGAGAGCCCAGGTTGCTCTGATAGTCGTCTTCAGCTCCTCTGCATTGTTGGGTCTAGCGTATTGCATCCTCCGCTTCACAATACCCCATAGATTTTCTATGGGGTTAAGTTCAGGCAAGTTTGCTGGCCAATCAAGGACAGGGATACCATGGTCCTTGAACCAGGTGCTGGTGGTTTTGGCACTGTGTGCAGGTGCCAAGTCCTGTTGAAAGGTGAAGTCTGCATCCCCATAAAGTTGGTCAGCAGCAGGAAGCATGAAGTGCTCTAAAACTTCCTGGTAGACGGCTGCATTGACCCTGGACCTCAGGAAACAGAGTGGGCCAACACCGGCAGATGACATGGCACCCCACACCATCACTGACGGTGGAAACTTTACACTGGACCTCATGCAACGTGGATTCTGTGCTTCTCCGCTCTTCCTCCAGACTCTGGGTCCTTGATTTCCAAAGGAAATGCAGAACTTGCTTTCATCAGAAAACATAACTTTGGACCACTCAGCATCAGTCCAGTCCTTTTTGTCCTTGGCCCAGGCGAGACGCTTCTTGCGCTGTTTCTTGTTCAAGAGTGGCTTGACACACGGAATGCGACACCTGAATCCCATGTCTTTCATGAGTCTCCTCGTGGTGGTTCTTGAAGCGCTGACTCCAGCTGCAGTCCACTCTTTGTGGATCTCCCCCACATTTTTGAATGGGTTTGTCGTCACAATTCTCTGCAGGGTGCGGTTATCCCTAGAGCTTGTACACTTTTTTCTACCACATTTTTTCCGTCCCTTCGCCTGTCTGTTAATGTGCTTGGACACAGAGCTCTGCGAACAGCCAGCTTCTTTAGCAATCACCTTTTGTGTCTTGCCCTCCTTGTGCAAGGTGTCAATGATTGTCTTTTGGACAGCTGTTAAGTCAGAAGTCTTCCCCATGATTGTGGTGCCTTCAAAACAAGACTGAGGGACCTTTTAAAGGCCTTTGCAGGTGTTTTGAGTAAATCAGCTGATTAGAGTGGCAGCAGGTGTCTTCTATATTCAGCCTTTTCAGAATATTCTAATTTTTTGAGATACCAAATTTGGAGTTTTCATTAGTTGTCACTTATGAATATCTAATTTAAATGTAATGAACATTGGAAATACATTGGTCTGTGTGCATTGCATGAATATAATGTACAAGTTTCACGTTTTGAATGGAATTACTGAAATATTTTCAACCTTTTGATGATATTCTAATTTACTGGCCAGCACCTGTATATGATGTGATATATGATGTTTGTGGTTTTGTTGTATTGTTAATGGTCACGAGGAGGCCAAATTTAATCTCAAATGCCAAAAAATAAATAAAAAAAACCACACACACTGCAGTACCAGCTTTTAGACACTGGATGGCAGCAACTCCCTGTCTTTCCTTGTCTAAATACAGTTGAACCCAGAGTGTTTCTGTTTTTTTGCCAGCAGACGGCGCAAATTTCCATTTCTTTGAAGACAACAATACATGGTGTTTGGAATAATATACTGGAAGTGTTTTTACTGAGTAACTCTTTTAACTTTATGAAGCCAGCTCATTCTTCCCCTTCTACTCATCCTCTTTTTCCTCATTAATGTTAATATTAATATTCCCAAGAGGACAAAAAGAAAGATTAGGGTTTTTAAAGCTTCATTAAGAAAAGGAGGCTAAAATTTTCTCTTTTAAATAAACCACAGTGCAGTACCATATTTCAGGCACTAAAGGGCAGCAACTAGCTCATTTCTAAACGCTGTTGGAAACCAAAGTGTTAGTCTACGTTTTGCCAGCAGATGGCGCTAATTCCACAATATTTCCGTACAGGTGGGAAGAGGACAGCCCTTAAAATACAACCTCCCTGAGGAGCAACAGCCTGGTCCCTCGTCCAGGGGACTGCCGCCGCCACCACCACCTCCACCTGCTCCTCATCCCGGTCCCTCTACCAGCCGCAGCCTCCCTCCTTCTTCTGCTCAGAGCCTGCTCGCCATTCGTCCCTGCCTCGCACTTGGACTCCGGAGAAAACTGTTTAAAAAAACAAAAAGAAAAACGAGAAGAATGAGCAACAGTGGCCTGCTCGCCTGTTGTTCATTCTTCTCGTTGTTTTTTTTAAACAGTTTTCTCCCCGCTCAGTGCACATAGAAAAGTGGAAATAGAGATAGTGTGTTAACATGCATAATAATACTAATTAATTATGTAAATATTTGAAAATAATTTCCACTTTGATTAATTAAGGACTAATTAATACACATGTAAAAATTATAGCGCATATATGATAAAAATCTCTGTGTTGAAACATATTTGTGACAGAGGCCTGAAAACCCGACCCTGGGTGACCTGCTGTAGGGGAGTTGAATAAAAACTAAATCACGCATGTTACGTCCTCTATTGGTGGATAAGGAGGAGGACGGGGAGTAACACAGAGGCGTGCGTTTCAGGTGTGGAAATTTTAAACACTGATTTTATTAAAAGGATTTTAAAATGACAAAAAGCTCCAAATCGAAAAGTACTTAAAGAGCAAGTCACCCCCCAAATAAACATTTTTTTGCTGATAAACTAAATAAACGAGTGTCCAATCGTGCTGCAGACACGTGTCGTCAATAATTTGGCACTTCAGTGCATCTTAGTTCAAATTTAAATATTCTGCCTAAAACTGGCAGTGTTGTGCCGTTGTCAGGTAAAAACTCTGCACTGTATTTAATTTAAATCTGCCACCGCTATTGGCTAAGAGGTATGCTATGATGTAAAATGGTACATTATGATGTCACAATGCTGTCGTGAGCCTGTGTGTGTGTGCGTATTTGTTAGCAGCTCCGCCCTCTCGGTCTGCCAGGCAACAGCATTTGTTGCATTTTTCAAACATGAAGTGGGAGTGGAGTTAGACTCTGGTAGGGGGTGACTTGCTCTTTAAAGCACATTGTTAAAATGGCCAAGGGTTTACGTTTAAAGCAGACTTCCGAATTCACAAAACAAAGTCCACTGACTTAAACACAAGTTTGGGAGCCAAGAGGAAACCAGCACTCTGATCCCTCGTCTGTTAAAAACCTCTAAAAGTTGTTAAGCTTCACCAAGCTTAACAACTAAAACCCATTTAAAAGCCATTAAAACAAAAACAAGTGGAGCACAAGAGAACTGGCACAGATCCAGTCTCTCTCTTCCTCCTGGCAGCTCTCCCTTTCATGCTGCTCAGGAGGTGATCAGCCCCAGTGAGTGCATCTGTGCAGGTAGGAGGAGGAGGAGGAGGCAAAGCACCGATTGTCCTCTGCAGCGTCCGATTTCTGAGACAAACAGCAACAGCTCAGCTGTAACGACGTACTAAAGAAGAAATAAAAAGTTCAAGCACAAAACTCTCCAAACCATGTTTATTAAGAGCTCGTTCACATTAGCTGCAGTGGCAGCAGACTGGATGTCCAGTAGAAGGATCAGTCGGGTACCCGGTTTGTGTAGAAAAGGTGGATTATACAAGAACATGAGGTCAGGAGTCTGCAGCTTCCTCCTGACTGAGACGTTACTAACGGTGAAGACCAGCTACAGGGTGAACAGTTCAGTCACTTTCTTTTGATTCCATTTGAAAGAAAAAAAAACTTTATCTCTTAATGTTCTGCAACATCAACATGTTCTTTTAACGCAGCCGTTTGTAAAAAATAATCAGCAATCTGAAAATATCCATCCTGTTTCCTTAGTGCTGTAAAAAAAGCTTTTCTGGTGCAGGTCTGGTTATTTACTGGTTTGTAACTGAGTAACGTCTGGTGGGAGAGAGAGAAGCAAACCGCCCAGTTCAGGAGAACCCGCTCCACCAATCAGAACCCGCCATGTTTGCACGCACCAACATTTAATATGTAATCAGATGAAAAGCGTCGTCGGTGATTACACTACGAGGGTCAAAAGCAGCCACTGCTGAACATTACCCATAATGCTTTGTGAACGAACACGAGCGTCAAACACCTGCCCGGAAGTTCAGCTGGGATCATCATAAACTACATCAAAAGCCTCGTTCTTTTTGCTGTTGTTGGTAAAACGGTGACTCAGGCGAATTAATTTGACAGGAAGGTGGCGCTAGAGTCATTTATATAGAGGTTCTTTGAAGCGTGTGTGTTGGAAGTCCTGGACCGGCTCTGTGGTAAATCCAGAACCGATCCCCTCACAGACCTCTGGAGAGTTGACCCCATGGACATAATTTTCACTTTAGAAGTGGGGGGGACACGGGGGGGGGGGGGGTGTTGGGTGTCTTTACAGTATGCTCTAATGGGAAACAGGCTTCAACATAAACGGTTGTTTTCTGCTTGGTCCTAGAGCTCAACCAGTGTCAATTTAATATAGCGTAATATTGTTTTTGGATGGTAAAAAGTGCAGGGGTCAAAACTTGACTTCGGAAAAAGTGGAGGGGGGACATGTCCCCCCTGTCCCCCCCCAAAATTACGTCCATGGTTGACCCCTCTGACCCAGGCAGGCCTGGAGGTTCTACCAGAACCAGCTCACATGTGCTAATGATATCAGGTTTATTACTGAGAAGCATCATTACAAAAAATTAAAAAAAATCAACCAAACACACACTTCCTTATTATTTGTGCTAATATTTCACATTTGATATGAAAACAAAGGTTCCCAGAAGGAGCTGGAATCCCTGAAATGCTGCTGTAAGCTGTGCTACATACTGATGACCTTCTGACCCGACTGCTGGGGTTCTGTGGTTCTTTTACCAGAACCTAAACTAAAATATCTTTAAATACACGAATGAATCAAAAGTAAAAAAAAAAATGCTGATTTTAAACAGCAGCAGGCAAGTTGTGCTGTGTCCCCACATGGTGAGTAAAACGAGTTTAGTTTGGATCCTAACAGCCACACAGGTTTGGGTCAGCGATGGAAAGGGTACCAGAACATCTCAGAGCAACAGCAGGTGGATGGAAACATGATCGAAGCGCTGACTGGTTCTGACCCACTGGTCTAACTGGGTCACCTGAACTCAGGGCTGTTCTCATTCAGCTCCTCTCTCTCTGATTGTCTGTGCAGTCTGGTGTGTGTCTGTTTGAAGTGTGTGTGTGTGTGTGTGTTAGGTGTGTTGGTAACACTTTACAACAAAGATCTCTTTATTAACGTCACTTAGTACATTATTAAGCATTAATAAACTATTAAATAAAGTCTTAACTGGTTAATATTAATGTTAAAATTTAAGTATTAAGGACACTTAAAAGTCAACATCAGGAACATTAATAAAGGGACCCTTATTGCAAAGTGTCACCATTGGGTTAATGATGTTACAGGTGTGTGTGTGTGTGTGTGTGTGTGTGTCTGAGGTCCAGTGTGTGTATTGCTTTCATTAAAGTCACCAGTTCACACAAATGAAACCAAAAAGATGTTTTAGGTTTTGTGTGAAACTTGAACTGATCAGCTGTTTTTTGTTTACATAGTCAACATGATGAACCACAGCCTTCCCAGTCAGCTGACCCTCTGGGAAACATGATATGGATGAATACATCAATCAGCCGCAACGTTATGACCGCTGCCCGAGTCAACCCTTTTCTGTTAAGTTTCCATGAGCTTGAACGTGAACAAAACAAAGGAGATGATTTTGAACTTCAGAAGAAACAGGGTGGAGTCAAACACTGTTTCCATCATGGGAGAAGAAGTGGAGGTGGTTGAGGAATACAAATACCTTGGAGTTCACCTGGACAACAGACTGGACTGGAGAAAGAACAGCGAAGCCGTTTACAAGAAGGGACACAGCAGACTGCACTTCTTGAGGACGCTTAGGTCCTTCAGTGTCTGTAGCAAGATGCTGCAGATCTTCTACAAGTCTGTTGTTGAGAGTGTAATCTCTTCAGCCATCGTCTGTTGGGGTAGCAGCATCAGAAGCAGGGACCTGAAAAGGCTCAACAGCCTAATAAAAAAGGCTGGTTCTGTTCTGGAGACGACTGTGGAACCACTGGAGGAGATAATGCAAAGAAGGATTCTCCAGAGAATCAAGAAAATGATGGACAACCCTGAGCATCCTCTTCACAAGACTGTCCGACAACAGAGGAGTGTCTTCAGTCAGAGGCTTCTTCAGTTTGGCTGCAACACTGACCGCTACTGGAGATCCTTCCTGCCAACAGCCATTGTAATATACAATAACTCTTTGATGACTTGATTATTATTATTATTCTGAGCTACTACAGCAATCAATTTCCCTCTGGGATTAATAAAGTATTTTTGAATTGAATTGAATTGAATGTGTGGTGGTCAGGTCGGAGCAGCTCCATAATGAAGCCCGGTCTAAAGTGGTCCACGGACGGAAGCTGGTGAGGTCATAGGCATGTGAAGGCTGGTCTCGTTGTTCAGGAAGAATTTAGGGATGAAATATTAAAGTATAGGAGGATGATGATTGTAGTGAAGAAATTTATCACAAATAATAAAATGAAAGAATTTCAAAAGAAAAAAAACGCAGAAGTCCTCTGAGAACCGGGGTTTCTGTCTAAATCTGATGAGCTCAACCTTTTCCTCAGTCACACATCCAGCTGCTGTATAATAATATGAAGACTATTGTTTTTATTAGATTTGGTGTTTACATCCTCGTCTGTCAAACCACATGAATTACCCTGAAGCGACCTGACTGGTTTAATCTGGATGGATATAATAATCTTAATTCCCCTCCAGAGAAGGCTTTTAGTTATTGTTGGAGAAGGAAGTGATGTAATCCCGCTCAAACGGTTAGGGAGGAGGCAGAGCTGCTGATGCTGTCCTGTCTAAAGCAGACACGATGACCTGCGGAGACCAAACATGCACGAGTCCAAATGCTCTAGTAAGGTGGTCATAATGTTATGGCTGTCTGTGTTTTACATGGTTTCTTAAATAAACCATCAAAAGGAGGCGCTGACCCGGGGCCGGGGTGGGGGGGTGGTGTCACACGTCACTATTTAAACTAGTTTTATGGTCAAACTAAAACAGGTCAAAGTTCAATCTGAGGCACAGAGGAGTGACCTCACCAGGAGGAGCCATGCACCGTGGGTTTATAGACCCAACCGGACCGAACCGGTCTGGTGAGGATGTACGCGAGGCAGCCATCTTGAGTTTAAAAGTTGACCGATGAGACTCCCCAAAGCTGCGATTTGAGGTCAGCCTGAGGCACCATCATCATAAATGATCAGAAGAAACTAGTTGGGATCATTTTTTCTACAAAAAAGGAAAATCATGAAAAAATAAAGTTAAAATACTTTTTGAAATGTGCCTCAGATCCAGCTACGGTCACGTTTGCCGTTCCTGTCCTGCATTTCCTTTCATCTGCTGTCACACCGATCCGATGACAGGTGCGCTCTGCTCGTCACAACCAACTACAGGAGACGGCTAGAAGCTTCCAAACATCCCAGAAGTGAAGCCCGGTTATTTTCTTGCACGTTTCCGACTTCTCCAAGCTCTTTACATTCATCGGACGTCGTTTTCAGCTCTTCCAAAGTTGAACATTTGATTAGAAGCATTAAAAATATCTGTCTCTCTGCAGATAACACGGTTATTTCTTCCCTTCCAGCAGTCCCACTGGGCTGGGTCGCTAAACTGATGCAGACCAACAGACGGTCCTTTATGTTCACGTTCTGCTCTGAAATAATTCAAGTTATTTACAATATTATATCAACAAATCTGATTAGAAACTACGAGGTGTGTAATCACCAGCGGTTCCGGTTCTGATGTGGGTTTTTAGGGGAGAACATCTTCTCATGCAGCTTGCTTCAGAAGTTTACGGGAATACTCAGGGATACTGCACACACTGATATTTTGATACTGACAAACGTTCCTCTTGCTGCACAGTCCTGGTAATGACCACGGAGCAACGTTGTGTTCAGACCAGTGAAGACGGCCCTGCTGCTTGTTTGTTAGCTAGCATTTACCCCGGGAGGCTGCTCGGTGACAGCCAGTGAATGTCTAATGCTTCAGATGGTTCCAGAACATGGTGGGCTGCTGCAAGGTGGGCAGGTGGGTTCGGCGAGTGGAGCAGGTACGGAAACGGGCTTCTCACTGCGAGCAGCTGCTGAGCCGGTTAAACAAAAGGAAGAAAAATAGGTTTCCATGGTTCCCAACAATGAAAGTAAACCAGTAAAAGGCTATTCACATGTACCCGCAATGTGAGGAATGGTTCCACCCACAGCTAGACCACAGTTCTTCCTAAACTATGGAATGAAGTGACACGCAGTAGTATCAGAGTTCATTGAGACGGGCCTTCTGCTGGTTCTGCCCGAGACCACCAGGGCACAGAGGGTTCGTGCACACACACACACGCACGCACGCACGCACACACACACACACACAAGTCTGTTGGTCAGTCCTCAAAAACCTCCAGGAAGAGCGGAGGGAACAGCTCGGTGGGACACTCCACTTTCATGTGCAGGAAGCGGCTAGCGTGGCAGGCGCCGATCATCCGCAGGTCCGTCACCTTCATCAGCAGCTTGGGCCAGAAGTGGGCCACTTTGTGCTTTCGGGAGTTGATGTAATGTTCAAAAGCCAGAAGAAACTCCTCCTGGCAGCGCTCAATCCGATCCACGCTGGTCAGGCCCGGGCGATCTGAGGAGAGAACCGCATGGTGTCACACAGAAGTTACAGTAGAAAAAAAAGTATCAGTCAAAAGTGGATCCTTAATAAAAACAGCCTGAAGCAGCCATGATTAAGAGGACAACAGGTGTGTTGGACTGATCACTGGCGACAGGTGCAGTCCACATCTGTACTGCTCCGTGTCCGAGAAGCTCCGGATCTCCATTGTTGATCCACTTTCAGCAGGTTTACGTTTTTGTCGTGTTGTAGGGAAGAACCCCTTTCAATCAGTGCAATCTCTTAGTCAGGATCTGAAGGTGGATCAACAAGAACCAGAACAGAACCAAAACCAGACCACTTTACTGTCATACATCAAAAGAACATCCAAATTGAAAGGCTAATTCAAGGTGCTGGTTCTAATACACAGTCTACATGGGACAAGTAAAGAAAAGCCATAGCATAAAAACACTGCTGGCATCTAAGAGTACAAGAATTGCTCTTAAGTTATTATTTATAAACTGTTTGCATTCATGGTATTGATGTTTGGGGATGGCAACCGTAGAAGAGTCTGTTGATCTTTGATCTAGAGGACCTGTAACTTCTCCTCCGGTGATGAAAACCACTTCTGCTGGGCTGACCCGTTTACTCACGGATAAAAACAAGAGAGAATTGGTTGGTGTGTTGAACCACTTGTCACGTAGTTAAAGCGGGTCAGAACACCACGTAGTTAAAGCGGGTCAGAACACCACGTAGTTAAAGCGGGTCAGAACACCACACAGTTAAAGCGGGTCAGAACATCATGTAGTTAAAGCGGGTCAGAACACCACGTAGTTAAAGCGGGTCAGAACACCACACAGTTAAAGCGGGTCAGAACACCACGCAGTTAAAGCGGGTCAGAACACCACACAGTTAAAGCGGGTCAGAACACCACGTAGTTAAAGCGGGTCAGAACACCACGTAGTTAAAGCGGGTCAGAACACCACACAGTTAAAGCGGGTCAGAACACCACGCAGTTAAAGCGGGTCAGAACACCGCGTAGTTAAAGCGGGTCAGAACACCACGTAGTTAAAGCGGGTCAGAACACCACGCAGTTAAAGCGGGTCAGAACACCACACAGTTAAAGCGGGTCAGAACATCATGTAGTTAAAGCGGGTCAGAACACCACACAGTTAAAGCGGGTCAGAACACCGCGTAGTTAAAGCGGGTCAGAACACCACGTAGTTAAAGCGGGTCAGAACACCACACAGTTAAAGCGGGTCAGAACACCACGCAGTTAAAGCGGGTCAGAACACCACGCAGTTAAAGCGGGTCAGAACACCACGCAGTTAAAGCGGGTCAGAACACCACGTAGTTAAAGCGGGTCAGAACACCACGCAGTTAAAGCGGGTCAGAACACCACGCAGTTAAAGCGGGTCAGAACACCACGCAGTTAAAGCGGGTCAGAACACCACGCAGTTAAAGCGGGTCAGAACACCACGTAGTTAAAGCGGGTCAGAACACCACGTAGTTAAAGCGGGTCAGAACACCACGTAGTTAAAGCGGGTCAGAACACCATCGTAGTTAAAGCGGGTCAGAACACCACGCAGTTAAAGCGGGTCAGAACACCACGTAGTTAAAGCGGGTCAGAACACCACGCAGTTAAAGCGGGTCAGAACACCACCAGCTGGTGTTTATTGATCCTGATCAATGTGGAGTTTAACTGATCACAGATCATATAAAGTGTGTTTACAAGCATCAGCTGCTGTCTGACACAAAGTTGATCAAACATAGTGGTGAGTGAGTGAGTGAGTGAGTGAGTGAGTGAGTGAGTGAGTGAGTGAGTGAGTGAGTGAGTGGCTTTTTAATGACTCAGAATGAAGTGAATGGGTCTAGGTTGCTGGAGGTGGCGAAGCTGTAGCTACAAAACAGGTAAACAAAACTGTTTCTGTGTTTAAAAAAGAACGAAAGCATGGAATTAGAACCACGACACAGCAAGAACACACCTAAGATACATTTTATTCCCTCTAAGAACCTCAACAAAAATAACAAAGTGATCGCTCTTTCCAGACTGTTGCACCCTGATTTTTGGAATGATCTTCCTTCATCTCTATCGACAGTCTGGACAAATGAAAAGATCATTATGATTTTATGATTTGTTTGTTTTGTTTTTGATCTATGTGAAGCACTTTGTGATTCTCTGTTTGAGTGCTATATAAATAAAATGTACTTACTTACTAAATATGTTTAAAAATGCAGAATTTTTAAAGCTCTGGCTCACTGACCAGATACACAAGACAATCAACTATCAAAGCAAACTGATCCTTCTAACGTATTATTATCATCATCGCTGGTCTTAATGAGATAAAACTATATTTTAATCATGTTTTCTGGTCAAAGAGCCTCCAGTGGCCCCGGAGCCACAGGTTCCAGACCCCTGAAAAACCACAAAAACCTGACTGCTATTCAGTGTTCTACTACTAAGTCTTTCATATGAAACCGTGTTATTGGTTTATTTACGGCTTCTCTCTGAGCACCGATAACATAATTTGGCTGTTTAACCTTAACATGAAGGAGTGTAAGTTCCATGTGAACATGGTGGAACAGAAGGCCTGGTTCCCCTGGAGCGGTATTGATCTTTAGCCCACGCTGGCTGGACAAAGCTCCTCACATTGATTATGGTGATTCATTGATTGGACTGAGGTTTGATATGGATTTCATGTCAGAGCTAAGCAGGAGAGAACAAAGCAGAAGTCCAGAAGGAACATGGATGTAGGACTATTGGAGCTCCGGGGTTTATGGACTCAATCTGCTGTCTTTCCTGAACTCGGAGCAACATTTATACCAGTTCCAGCTGCAGCGCAAAAGGGACAACAGGAAGGAAGGAAGAGTCTGAGCTTACCGGATGAGAGCAGGATGACGGCCTGTAGAAGAGCCACCTCCGAGTCATCCAAGTCAAATGAGGCCAGCGAAATGCCCAGGTCAAAAATAGCATCCGAAACCACACCCAGGCCTCCATTTTTAAGCTGACCACGAGTGACGGCCATTTCACCGTTGAGTGTGAGGGTTTCGCTCTCTGGGTCGTAGCGCACGGCGGCTCTCAGAGACATGATCTCCATGCAGCAGCCTTTCAACAGGATGATCTGGTCTTCACAAGGCAGCTGCAACACAGGAAACATACACCTGGCATTTATATTCATAAACACATAATCATACCCATAAAACAACCAAATGACCTGTCTATCATTATTATTATTATTACTATAGTTCTTATGTACTATCATTATTACTATAGTTATTATGTACTATCATTATTACTATAGTTATTATGTACTATCATTATTATTATTACTATAGTTATTATGTACTATCATTATTATTATTATTACTATAGTTATTATGTACTATCATTATCATTATTACTATAGTTATTATGTACTATCATTATTATTATTATTATTACTATAGTTATTACGCACTATTATTACTATAGTTATTATGTACTATCATTATCATTTTTACTATAGTTATTATGTACTATCATTATTATTATTACTGTAGTTATTATGTACTATCATTATTATTATTATTACTATAGTTATTATGTACTATCATTATCATTATTACTATAGTTATTATGTACTATTATTATTATTATTATTATTATTATTATTATTACTATAGTTATTATGCACTATTATTACTAAAGTTATTATGTACTATCATTATCATTATTACTATAGTTATTATGTACTATCATTACTATTATTATTATTATTACTATAGTTATTATGCACTATTATTACTATAGTTATTATGTACTATCATTATCATTATTACTATAGTTATTATGTACTATCATTATTATTATTATTATTACTATAGTTATTACGCACTATTATTACTATAGTTATTATGTACTATCATTATTATTATTACTGTAGTTATTATGTACTATCATTATTATTATTATTACTATAGTTATTATGTACTATCATTATCATTATTACTATAGTTATTATGTACTATTATTATTATTATTATTATTATTATTATTATTACTATAGTTATTATGCACTATTATTACTAAAGTTATTATGTACTATCATTATCATTATTACTATAGTTAATATGTACTATCATTACTATTATTATTATTATTACTATAGTTATTATGCACTATTATTACTATAGTTATTATGTACTATCATTATAATAATTATTACTATTACTATAGTTATTGTTATGTACTATTATTATTATTACTATAGTTATTATATACAATTTTTATTATTATTACTATAGTTGTTATGAACTATTATTATTATTATTACTATAATTATTATTATGTTCTATAATTATTATTATGTACTATTATTATTACGACAGTTATTATAGTAATCGCCTCTGTCAGTGCGTCCCAGGGTAGCTGTGGCTACATCGTAGCTCATCACCATCAGTGTGTGAATGTGTGTGTGAATGGATGAATGGTACACTGTAGTGTAAAGCGCTTTGGAGTCCTTACTCTGAGAGGCGCTATACAAGTGCGGTTCATTTATCATTTATTTATTATTACTGCAGTTATTATATACTATCATTATTACTATAGTAATAGGTATATATCATTATTATTATTATTAATTATTACCATATTATTATTGATTATTTTTAAGATGAATATACATTTTACTATAGTAATTAATATTACTGATATTATTATTATTTTGTCATTATTATTGATATAGTTAATATTGTCACTATAGTTATTATTATTACTAATATTAATATGAATGCCATAATTATAATTTTTACTATTATTGTTACTACAACAATAATAATTATTGCTACATTTTTACAATCATTATCATTAGGGTTGTTCATAGAGTTCAGACAAAACAGCCCAATAACATATTAGTAACTAATAGTAACTCTTAATATGGTCTTATTAAACATAATATTTAATCATTTTACAGAACAAGAATTTTTCCTCTAATAAATCTTGCTAGTATTTATTTATATAATTATTTGAATCAATTAACTTACATTTTTTACTTAAATAATTGTCATGTAATTTTAAAATATTGGTAGTTTCTTGTTGTATTATTCAAATTATTGTTACTTTTGTCTCTTTGTTGATGTAATTTTATTTATATGCCAGGTTTGTTTATAAGAGATTTTAATTTATTTTCATTTTTAAATTTCACAATTTTATCAGAATTTAAAGGTTTCTCTGAATTTTGGCATCAACTTTGATCAACATAGTTATTAATATAGTTCGGTGTCATTAAATGATCATTTAATGATCTAGGAATTATTCAGACTGTGTTTATAATTAAATTAAAGGAAATTAGGAATAAGCTCCAGACAATTATAGCTTCAGGCACTAAAGCGACAGGAGAAATCAATAACATCCAGCTCAATTAACATACTTCATTTAAAGCTACCATGATAAAAGCATCAATATTCTACCTGATAAAAGATAAAAATAAGTAATAAATGTACACATTTGTGTAAAATTTTTTATTAAACAAAATAAAATCAAACAAATATGAAAATGTTTAAATACCACTGATGCTGCTTCTTTATCTGTGTTTTACACATAAGGGTCAGAATAAAAGACTGACATTGTTTTAAAAGATTTATTTCTAGTCTGACTTTTAAATGAAAACAATTTATATTTCCAAATATCAAAAATACTAAAATGTTTCAATAATAAATAGATTTTTAAATGTTTATCTGATTAAATCATTCTAATTTATTATTAGAAACTTAATTTCAGTTTATTAACCAAAGACAGAGAAAGTCAGTAATATTTTCACACTTTTTTGTCTTTCAAAATAATAATAATTAAGATTTTATTTTCTTCCATCAGACTGTTTAAAAACTGACTTTGTTCCTGTTGTAACAGTTTAATATGATATTGATTTCAACAGAAGATGAAAGGTCCACACTCACCTCACAGAACATAGGCAGCTTTTTGGCAAAGTCCACCACTCGAGTTATGGCGGGGGTGATAATTTTTGTAAACTGACTAAAGGCTTCGATATCCACCTTGTTCTCTTCCAGCGCATTGCCCACCGAGCCTTGACCAAAATCCTCTGGCTGCAAACACAAAAACAAAGATGTCTGCTGCGGTGTGCTGCTTCGGCGCCTCGGCAGAGTGTGTGTGGTCCGACTCTTACCTTAGTGTCCTTCACCCCTGCTGCACTCTGGTCAGAAGTATAGAATAAATTACATGTTATTTCATTAAGAAGCATTGCTTCCTCGACCTGTTGGATAATCAACAGGAATGGTGAAGTTTCAATGAAGAACCCGAGTCAAGTCAACTAAAAAGCAAACAAGTTAAACTGAAGACAGAAAGCACAAACAGAAAGTCCAGGTGAGTTTCTATGGCGGGATCCAGATCTAATCCCAGCAGGAATTCCGCACTCCGGAATCCCGCCATAGAAACCCAGAGCTCGGTCACAGCGGACAGACTTCAAACCTGGAGAGAGGGGTTAGATTTAGCAGAACAGAACGTAAAAATGTGTTAAACACAAAGCATGAAAATAAAAGCCACAATCAGACGGGAAACCAGGGAGGAGCAGAAGGAGAAAAGGAGGTGTTAGTGGCAGCAGGCAACAGTAAAACATGAGGAGAGGTTCCAGTTTAATTAGTGCTGCTGCGTTCAGGAACACTTTTCTCCATCGTCCAGCTAATTCTCCTCACTCTATAAGGAGATAGAGAAAACAACACACGCATATATTAACACGGCTGTGGTGGAGGAGACGGGGGGTGGGTGTGGCGAAGGCTGTGGCGAGGACGGAGCGGAGAGGACGACGTCTCACCAGGAATTTTCTCTTCTGCTTCCAGTGGTTTCCCTGTGCGTTGGTAGCCATGTGGGCCTCGGTCACCAGCCGGATCAGGTCCCACTCCTCCTGGGTGGGCTCCAGTCGGTCCCACGCCGTCTTCTGAAGCTCCTCCTTCCGACGGCGCTCGCGGTTCTCCTCAATCAGCTTCCGCTTGGCCAGCCGCTTGCTGTCGTCCAACACCACTGAGTCAGACGAGGGCAGGGGGGGTTCACATAAACACGAGTTATTCTGTCTGCTCTACGCTACAGGATCAGCTGTACTCCTCTGTCTGACTCACGGTCCGTAGCCATTCCCACTGCTATGCACTTCTTGAAGCGACATTCTTGGCACTGGTTTCGAGTCACTTTGTCGATGACGCATTTCCCTTCATACTTACAGGCGTAGGTGGGGTTGAGATTTTTCTGGATCGTCCTTCTGAAGAATCCCTGGAGAGGATGAGGTCGGGATTAGGAAAGGTGACGGAGCAGACAGCAAAGTTTGGCCCCGGTGTGCGTTACCTTACAACCCTCACAGGTGATGCAGCGATAGTGATAACCGGTGGCTTTGTCCCCACAGACTACACACAGCTCATCCTTGTCCAGGTAACTGGGAATGTACCCTGCAGACACAGACAGACACGAGCTCAAGGGTTGGGTCTGACACGGGGACACTCTCTCTAAAACACTCACATCTGCTGCAAGGAACCAATAACAACCAGTTTCTACACATTTCATGTTTTTGCCTCCAGTGACTTCAATTACCAGTCCTCCCAGTCCAGTCCTGGTGCTGGTCTTAATGAGATCTGACCTTTGACTGCTGACGGCCTCCAGATCTAAGCGTGCAACTACTGAACAATAACTTTTTAAGGATCATTAAGAAGAACAATAAATGCTCTGACACAAGCTTTCTGTTGCCTTTCCATCTATCTGAGCACCCGACCCGCCTCCGTCAATGACCCCGAGTCCGACTCACAGAGCCAACACCACCAGGAGCCCAGGCTTTAGCAGATCGGACATGACATCGCAGACTGACTGATCACCAGGTTCTTTAGCCAGACAGTCCCAGTCCGGACATCCTACCTTTCCTGTGGGCTCCGTGCATCCACTGCAGGTGGGAAAAGTCCGGTTTGATTTCAGGGAAGAACTCTGGCTGATGATGGAAGTGACTGAGAGGAACCTCCATGTTGCAGAACTCTGTCTTAAAGGAGGACGGACCAGCAGCGTATGAGCAGGAGTAGTGCTGGCTGGGGGGCCAAGCCTGCTCCATGCAGGGCGGGTGGTGCAGAGGCTGGGGTTCATAGTAGCCGGGCCCCTCTCCGGGATACATGCAATGATCCCCACCGCCCGGAACGCTGTAGCCTCCAACCCCAGGGTGGGGCACTTCATACATGTCAGGTATGCAGAAGTTCATCATGAAGAGCCGCGGCAACACATAAAAAAAGTCAGCAAACTACAAAAACGTAGATAGAAAGGTCTTTAGCCTGGTTCTCAAGATAAATAAAACATTTATTTCCTCTCAGAAAGGGGAAAAAAACTTCTAGAAGCTCCACTAGAAGCATAAACCTTTTATCCAGCAAATCCACAGACTACAGACTACACCTAGCAACGGCCCCACCCGCCACCACCCGGCCGAATTGGGAAGCAGAGATTTATGACGACGAAGGGCTCTAATCTGACACTCCGCAAATCCTTGATGTGCCACTTCCACTGGCCATGTCACAGATTAGGATCTGTGTGTGTCGCACCTACAGTAAGTACCGGCCCACAGGAGAGGACGGCGCCTCCGGGACAGCAGGAAGGGGAACAAAAAAGGTCTAAAAACTTCAAATATCAAAGAATCACAAAGATTCAGGAGTTTCATCAACATCACCACCTAATGCATCGCTAAGGTGATTCTGCAGGGTGGCGCACAAAGAAAATATGACCCAACTGACCCGAGACAAGCACGTTCAAAGCTCACTGCTGTGGCCAAATGAATCTCCCATTGGTCTGTGGACGTTAGCGGTGGAACATGTTGCATAGGCTGCTTCAGATAATATGCTTATTAGCTTGGACTGAAGCGATCTTCAGCCATATTGATCAGGCTTCCTGTTCAATAATGAGGGGATAAGCCTTATGGCCAGGACGTGTGACCAGAGTCAGGCTGAGAGCAGCTAAAGGCAAAAAGGTGAAGCTTCAGACTGGAAGACCGTTACTAATTACTTTAGATTATAGCTAATACTGCAGAAAGCAGCGCGCATGCACACACACGCACACACACACACACACACACACACCCCATCGTCCATCGGGAAGCTCAGAGGAAGAAAACGTTCGGTAAAAATGACTCAAACGTCAAACATCTTTGGGACCAAAGTTAAAAACAGCAGTTAAAACGGTTAAAAACTCATTTTCCCACTCTGACCTGAATTCAAGAAACACAAGCAGGTCCAACTAAAACTAGAAGCCCAAATCCTGAACATCGTGTGTTTGTGTTGGAGCTCGTGGTTGTTTGGTTGCAAGTTCCCAGCAGCTGGTCACAGCAGGGTTTTCCACAGCGTCGGTTAAAAACGGCACAAACAGCCTGAAAAAGTCCACAAACTCAACTTCAACCTGAACTTCAGTCTTCATGTCGATGACATCACTTCACACAGCCCTCCTCTGGTTTAGGAAACGCTTAAATTAGTACCGAAGTTTGACTGAAACGTTTCGGTTTCTCTCAGCCAGAGCTGTTTGGTTATTCGAGTCTTTACTTACTCTGAAAATAAAATAACAAGGAAACATTAAAGAAGCTTAATCGGGTAAGCCTCTGGTGTTTATACAGGTCCACCGGAGCATTAAGAGCATTAATTTGAGGGGAAAAAAAGTCTTCCTTCTAAGATTTGTTCTTTAGGACACCCGTACATCTTCATGTTTCAGAGAAAGATCCGAGCAGGACCGGAAACGGCTCCAAACTACGTCTGCTTAAGAAGCGCCGGGACGGCAGGCTGGCGTATGGAGCTGCACTTGAACACAACCAGATGAAGTCAGACTTCTTTTATTACTCATTTCTACACCTTTTAATTCCCAGTTAGATCATGCTCTGTGCAGGCGCTGATAATCCAGTAATGCAGCTTAAACCTTGAGACAAAAAGCCTGACAAAGTGATTATGTGTCCAGATATAATATGACGCTTAAGGCGTCTTAACCACGTTGACTTGTGTTGAGGCAACAAGTAGAACAGCACAGCACTGGCTTTTTAATCTCATTAGATGCGGAGCACAAAAGGTCCGGCGCGATGGAAATGTGCATCTGCTGCATAAATCGGGCTGAGATGAGCCCGACGGGTCATTATGGGATGCTTTACCAGCTCCTAAAGATGCTTGGAGGTGAAACTACATCACGCAAATTAAGCAGCTCTGGTGTAAAAGCTGCAGGACAAAGAGCCGGAGGATTAGGGAATGCCGCAGACCTAACGGTGAAGCAGAGAAGACACAGAACTTTCTAGTCCAGTTAGGCTACAGTTAACCCAACAAGGTTATTTATGAGGACAAAAGCCAAAGGAAAGAACAACTATGTGAATAAAGCACAAACAACATCCTGGATAAAGGATAAAGGAGCGATCTGAACAAGGGAAACCGGCATCTGAATGTGGTCAAGTATTAAATTGAATGAAGGAAAAATCAATGAGAGAAACACAAAAAATTGTGAAACTTTACAATGAAAAAAGGAAAACATGACAAATCTGAAAGAAGGACAAACAGTAGCCGGGTCAAATACGAGTCAGACAGGAAGTCCAACTAGAAAAAGGCCAGACAAACATCTGCTGGGAGGAAACTAGAACAACTTGAGCTACGAGCAACAGAAGCTCTGATGGTCCCACATGAGATGATTGATGATTTTCACAGGGAGCTAAATAAATTCTTCACTTCCTGTGAGAACATGAATGACTGAAGTCTATGGGGAGACTAAGCCACGCCCATCTACTTCTGGTCCATGGGGTCCCCTGATGTCTGTTAGATGCGTGCCATGGATTTCACGTGTGATATCTGTGAATTTTAAAGACACATTTTGTTGCCAAGCTTATTTTCAACAGGCGACAAAAGTAAGTTTTGTGTGAACAAGATGACTACAACTGCTCGTTTCACAAAACTGACGTCATCAAACCAGACAAGAAGAAGAAAAACGGCTTTGACTTCAGCAAGCTTCACATCCTTCTTCCAGGATAAAAGAAAGAGCATTAAAAGTGGAGAAAACCTCCATGGGTCAGCCATGTGGTTTATAGCAGCTACGAGATTTTGCTGTGATGTCATTCTATTAATAAAATAAATAATGGAAACACAATATTTATCATTTAAAATGAAGTATAATGTGTGATTCAGGGCGTAGGGCAAAGCAGATTAGAAAATAACTTTTATAGCCCCGTTCCCTTATTTAATTTGTTCAGGGCGACCCATGAGCTGAAGGTTGGATGTCAACCGGAACGGAGGAGATGTAAAAGACAGTTTACTCGCGAGCTCCCTCACCTCTGGGAGCAACTTAGACTTGAAACGGCAGTGAAGGCGTTTCAAGTATCGAGTCCAGCAACGTCACAATATCACAGGAGAATTGCAGGACCACGTGGGATTTCTGAAGTTCACAGGAGAACAAGTAAGGAGAAAGACGGCAGCATGCATCCAAAAAGGTCTGTGGTTCATTTTCTGTTCCGTTTGCCTTACCTTATCAAAGGTTTCCCAGGAAATAATGTACTTTTCCTCCTAAATCAACAACAGAAAATGCGTTTAGAAGATTTCCAGATTTTTCCCACTGCTTTAGTATTCGACTCCGTCTGGCCTGAACTGCGGTCTTTGGAAGCGCAGCACATAAAAATAGGCTTGAAGGAAAAGAATGCATCCTTACAATTCTAGAACGACTCTAAAGCGTTATGCTTTGCGGCCGGTGAAGAAGTACCCATCCACTACAGGTGGTCATAAAATTAGCATATCATGACAAAGTTTATTTATTTCAGTAATTCTTTTCAAAAAGTGAAACTGATATATTTCAAATGTTTATTTTAATTTCCATGATTATAACTGACAACTGATGAAAATACCAAATTCAGTATTATTAGAATAATGTTCAGTACTGAAGACCCCTGGTGCCATACTCTAATCAGCTAATTAACTCAAAACACCTGAAAAAGCATTTAAATGGTCTCTCAGTCAGTGCGTTTACATACAGCCAGTAACTCTTTTAAAACCCGAATATTCACAATAACCCGGTTCCGCAGGTCCTTGTAAACACCGCCAAAAACCCGGATATGCTCATAACCGGGTTTTAAAAAACCCGGTTACTACACCTGGGGTAACCCTTTTCTAACCCGAATGTTTGGTCGTGTAAACGCATACCGGGATATCCCCATCAAAGCGTGTGTTCTGCACATGCTCTGTTCGCAAGGAATCATGGTCTTTTGAGTAGCGAGACGTCTTGTATGCGCCAGAACACCGGAAGTAAACAACAAGTTGGGGGCAAAATGGCGAGTCGCGGCACAGCACCACACTTTGAGTGACGAGGAAACTAAAGCGCAAACAAACGCGGTCACTATCTCTTCCGAACTGGGAAACATGTCGTTTTCACGGATACCGGAACAAGAAGAACCGGAAATGACGCATATTGCGTCTGGACGTATTCCATACGTCCTGACGCTACCCCAACGTCCGGAGTTAAATCGGGTTATGCACGTTAGAGGTAACTCTTTCTATTTATGCTTGTAAACGGGTTATTCTGATCAACTCAGAAACCCGAATCCCGACCTTAACCCGATCATAACCCGGATATTGGCTGCATGTAAACATACTGAGTATAGTTCTGCAGGATACACAAACATGGGGAAGACTGCTGACTGTCCAAAAGGCGGCTATTGACACTTTGCACAAGGAGGGCAAGACAGAAAAGGTCATTGCTAAAGAGGCTGGCTGTTCACAGAGCTCTGGGTCCAAGCACATTAATAGAGAGGTGAAGAGAAGGACATGGTGTGGTAGAAAAAAGTGTACAACAATAGGGATAACTGCACCCTGGAAAGGATTGTGAAACAAAATCCATTCTACAATGTGGGGGAAATTCACAGAGTGGACTGCAGCTAGAGTCAGAGCTTCAAGAACCACCACGCGTGTGCAAGACATGTTTCAGCATGTTGTGTCAAGCCACTCTTGAACAAGAGACAGTGTCAGAAGCATCTCACCTGGGCTAAAGACTAAATGGACTGGACTGGAGCTGAGTGGTCCAAAGTTACGTTCTCTGATGAAAGCAAACTTTGCATTTCCTTTGGAAACCAAGGTCCCAGAGTCTGAAGGAAGAGAGGGGAGGCACAGAATCCATGATGCTTGAGGTCCAGCGTAAAGTTTCCACAGTCAGTGATGGTTTGGGGTGCCATGCCATCTGCCGATGATGGTCCATTGTGTTTTCTGAGATCAAAGGTCAACGCAACCATCTACCAGGAAGTTTCATAGCAGTTCATGATTCCTGCTGCTGACCAACTTTATGGAGTTGAAGATTTCATTTTCCAGCAGGACTTAGGTACCTATGCACAGTGTCAAAGCTACTAGTACCTGGTTTAAGGACCATGGAGTCCCTGTTGTTGATTGGCCAGACTGACCTTAATCTCATAGAAAATCTATGGGGTATTGTGAAGAGGAAGGTGCAATACAGCAGATCCAACAATTCAGAAGAACTGAAGGCCACCATCAGAGCAACATGGGCTCTCATAACACCTGAGCAGTGCCACAGACTGATGGACTCTGTGCCACACCGCGTTGCTGCAGTAATCCAGGCCAAAGGAGCCCCAACTAAATATTGAGTCCTGTACATGTTCAGACTTTTCATTTTGGCCAACATTTCTAAAATTCCTTTTTTTGCATTGGTCTTAATTAACATTCTAATGTTCTGAGATGCTGAATTTAGGATTTTTATTAATTGTCAGTTATAATCGTCAACATTAAAGAAATAAACATTTGAAATATATCAGTCTGTCATGAATAAATCTGATATACAAGTTTCACCTTTAGAATGGAATTACTGAAATAAATAAACTTTGTAGTGGTATTCTAATTTTATGACCAGCACTTGTATAATGGCGACTTGGGCTTCCGGTGGAAAGGCTCAGTTAGGCTCCGTATAGGAGCTTTGGTGTGGACAGCGGACATCGATCTTAAATCTATTACAGATGTTCCCTCAGATCAATCTGATCCCATCTGAAGCTGCATGGTGATGCAGTTAGAAGCTTTGCTTCCTCATAGCAAGGAGGTTCCAGGTTCGAATCCCAGCTGTGGCCTTTCTGCATAGAGTTATCCTGTTCTCTCCATGCATGTGCAGAGTTCATAGGCGTTGTTTTAACCGGGGTTGCCAGGTACTTGTCACCACCAATAATTCTAGTGGGCAGTTTTGGTCTGACCATGTTAAACTCCTGTTGCGATTATTTTTTCCAGGATTGATCCATCTCCTCTACTCTCTGCAGAAGTACTAGAACAAAATAAATAAAGTAAATAACTGTGATTTAAACCCCTCTGTACCGGTTTCAGTCATGGCGCTTTTAAGCTCCCTGTCAACTTAAAAACTATATTTCTTTAAAAGTGTGGAACACTGACAAACCATTTTAATGATTATTTCTGATTAGAATCGCTCACTTTGAGTTTTTCATGCAAGCTGAACATGAAATTAGTCTCCTACGCCTATCTCCTGCATTAGCTTCTCCTACTACAGACCACGGCAAAATTACTGATTAACCTACAACTTTAATACATATATATTGCATTGCATTAATAATATTTTACCTGTAAATAAAAATAAAACTCCTTAATTTATATTGTTTAATTTTCAACATTTCTACAAAGAGTGTGGCATGCTGGGAAATCGGTCCCATCCAATCCGTGATCAATGCGCAGAATCGCTAGTGCTAACCTAAACCTTAATGTAAAAAATTGATAAAACTGGGTTGTTGTCAGTTTTACTGTCAGGGCTGCACTTACAGCATAGTATTTTTTGGATATTGGTTGTTTTTCTCTCAGACAGCACTACTGTGAGACTGCAACTCTTATCTGGCAGATCACAGACCGCTCATCTCTGGTGAGGGAGTGCGTAGTTAACCGAAACCTGACACAGGTAAGCTAAGTATTATTTTATGGGTATTTGCTTTGGCCCAGAGGTTAGGTGCTTGTCTATTACAGGGTTCCTACGGGTTTCATCAAGTTAAATTCAAGACTTTTTAAGACCTTTTCAAGACCACTTCTATAAAAAAATTATTACCTATTTCCCAGCCCTACAGGCAAAAAGGAAATCCTTGAACTTCTGTTAATTTATTTATCTTTTTTTATTACATTTCGCCAAAACACTCAGTAGAGAACATTACCAGAAAGGTTTGAGCTTTCACACAAAGGGTAGATATAACGAAAAACACATGTTTAAAATATAACAGCGTCAGTAGGGCTGGGTACCAGGAGGTATTTCTGGATACTACTACTTTAACAATACCTGGTTCTTGATGGCGGTACCTTAGCAATGCTTTTGTTGAAATCTATATTTTTAAATTTTAAGACAGGATATCAAACTACTTAAACATTTTGTTCTTTTTGTTTATATTAATTTATATTATACTTTATTTCAGCAAAGCTACAGTGCAAACAGCAAAGGCACAAAATTTTAAAATCTGTATAAAAATAACCTTCATTAATGCTTCATTTCATGTCATTAATAACAACTCTGCTGAACTGCATTTTATAATTGCTGGTAAACAACAAGTAAGTTAATAAATAAACCTAATAAAAAGTCTAACAATTACTTATATGTAAATAAAAATTAATAATTGTCCCCAGCAATCTTCAAGCCACTTTCACATTTATAGTTATTGTCCACAGTAATATTAAAAACATATGTGTGAAGTTAGCATATTCTCCTTATGCAGGTGTGGCTTTAGCATGTTCTCTACATGCATGTGTTGAGTTAACATGTTCTCTACATGCATGTGTGGAGTTAACATGTTCTCTACATGCATGTGTGGAGTTAACATGTTCTCTCCCTGTATGGGTTGAGTTAACATGTTCTCTCCCTGCATGGGTTGAGTTAACATGTTTTATTTATGCGAGCATTGAGTTTGCATGTTCTCTACATGCGTGCGTTGAGTTAGCATGTTCTCTACATGCGGGTGTGAAGTTAGCATGTTCTCTACATGCGTGTGTGGAGTTAGCATGTTCTCTACATGCGTGTGTGGAGTTAGCATGTTCTCTACATGCGTGCGTGGAGTTAGCATGTTCTCTTCATGCGTGCGTGGAGTTAGCATGCTCTCTACATGCGTGCGTGGAGTTAGCATGTTCTCTACATGCGTGTGTGGAGTTAGCATGCTCTCTACATGCGTGTGTGGAGTTAGCATGCTCTCTACATGCGTGCGTGGAGTTAGCATGCTCTCTACATGCGTGCGTGGAGTTAGCATGTTCTCTTCATGCGTGTGTGGAGTTAGCATGTTCTCTTCATGCGTGTGTGGAGTTAGCATGTTCTCTTCATGCGTGTGTAGAGTTAGCATGTCCTCTACATGCGTGTGTGGAGTTAGCATGTTCTTTACATGCGTGTGTTGAGTTTGCATGTTCTCTACATGGATTTGTGGAGTTAGCATGTTCTCCAAATGCCTGTGTTGAGTTAGCATGTTCTCTACATGCATTTGTGGAGTTAGCATGTTCTCCACATGCATGTGTTGAGTTAGCATGTTCTATTTATGCATGTGATGAGTTAGCATGTTTTATTTATACGTGCGTTGAGTTAGCATGTTCTCTACATGCGTGTGTGGAGTTAGCATGTTCTCTTCATGCGTGTGTGGAGTTAGCATGTTCTCTACATGCGGGTGTGGAGTTAGCATGTTCTCTACATGCGGGTGTGGAGTTAGCATGTTCTCTACATGCGTGTGTGGAGTTAGCATGTTCTCTACATGCGTGCGTGGAGTTAGCATGCTCTCTACATGCGTGCGTGGAGTTAGCATGCTCTCTACATGCGTGCGTGGAGTTAGCATGTTCTCTTCATGCGTGTGTGGAGTTAGCATGTTCTCTTCATGCGTGTGTGGAGTTAGCATGTTCTCTTCATGCGTGTGTAGAGTTAGCATGTCCTCTACATGCGTGTGTGGAGTTAGCATGTTCTTTACATGCGTGTGTTGAGTTTGCATGTTCTCTACATGGATTTGTGGAGTTAGCATGTTCTCCACATGCATGTGTTGAGTTAGCATGTTCTCTACATGCATTTGTGGAGTTAGCATGTTCTCCACATGCATGTGTTGAGTTAGCATGTTCTATTTATGCATGTGATGAGTTAGCATGTTTTATTTATACATGCGTTGAGTTAGCATGTTCTCTACATGCGTGTGTGGAGTTAGCATGTTCTCTACATGCGTGTGTGGAGTTAGCATGTTCTCTACATGCGTGTGTGGAGTTAGCATGTTCTCTACATGTGTGTGTGTGGAGTTAGCATGTTCTTTACATGCATGTGTTGAGTTAGCATGTTCTCTACATGCATGTGTGGAGTTAGCATGTTCTCTACATGCATAAAATGGTTTTCAATGGTTTTGCTCTAACAGAAGAAAAGCAGACGTGTCAGGTGAAATGGAAACTCTTAATTGTCCCTAGGACGGGTTGTATGTCTAATTTGTCTCTGATGGATGGTCATTAGTTAGTGTGTCCCTGTCCCTTGCCAGATGACTGCTGGAGCTAAACACCAGCTCCCCAAGACTCTAGTAAAGAAAAAAAATGTATCACTCACTCACTCACGCACGCACGCACGCACGCACGCACACACACACACACACACACAATTACCCGTTCATACTGCAGGGTGATTTCTACTGAAGCAATAAAAACCTCCAGAAAGTAATCCCTAAAGGAAAGCTTCCTCTAACCGCCGCTATTTCCACTCAGAAATTATTTTAATTTAAATGCGACCACCATCAGACTCCTGAAGTCTGCATGTGCAGAAGGTGTGATGTTGTGTGTTGCATTTATGGTAAGTAAATATGGATGCTACATGTTAGCATGTGTGTGATCTGAACCACCAAAGCTGTGAAGCTAAGCTTGTTGTGCATGTGATCCCACCACCCCTGCACTCATATATGACATTGGTCACGTCTGACATAAATGTTACATACGTGTGCGGTTTAGAACCACAGTCAGAAGGATCGCGTACCTAGCCGTTAGCTCGTCAGTCCTAAAGGGTTTAAACTATTTATCTGAACAGAAGCTGCTCATGAAGCTGTCTGCAATAACCAATAAGGTCATTATTTACATATTTAACATGAAACATATTTTTCTTACATTTTTAAGTTCATTACAAATGTCACAGCTTTTCTGGAAGTTTTGATTTCTCTTTTCTTTTATGTTGATGTTTTGACCAAGTTGTGAACATTTAAAACTTTAATTCAAATTTGTGCAAACCGGGGAATTACAATCACAAAATAATGAATGTTTATCGGGAATAAGACGGCTAGTTAAAAAGGCTTAATGAGGGATTAGGGGCACCCTTAATGTAAGAAGTGTGAGTGTGTGACGAGTGGATTCATCAACACACAACAGCTGGTAAGAGACGGGTCCTATGAGGCAAATCTGCTTGCAAAGAGGGCTTGATACCAGTTTAACTTTTTGATGAGGTGATGTCCTTGACTCGCACTAATCTTGTTTGCAGTTTCCTAAACTGGCGACAAATGGTTAAGCATTCATCAGACAGAGTTTAAGGCAAGTCAATAACCAACCAATCTGTTGTCTGAGTTGACAGAGTTAACACCTCCAACTGTTTTATTAGTCACATCAGCTTAAATAATCCTAACGTTTTTATTTCTCACCAGAAGGATGAAATCCATTTTAAAACAGCCGTTTTGTCCTAGTTTTCTTTTTTGACAAATGTTGCTGCTCCTTGGTGTTTAGTAGCTGATAAAATGTAAATAATAATAATAAAAAAGACATTAAAAACTACGTTTATTAAATGAATATAATAGTTATGTTTGATTTTTTGTTTCGTCTTTCATGAACATTTTCAGTCTAAAAGAAGCTAAAAAAGTCAGTTTTTAGTTTTAATGACAAAATCTGAATAAAAAAGGTATCAATAATTGATTTAAAAATGTATTTGAGGTTTTTTTTTTTAGAAAATGTCTGGTTCATTCTGAAACAAAAGCTATTCCACTTACCATTTTTGTGACGAGATGCTCATTTAGTTGATGGAAATCATAAATCCAGGTGAATAACTGTCCCGTGTGGGAAACGCCTGTGCGGCGTTCCGGGAGCTCTCTCCGGGTATTCCTGCCAGCGGCTGGAGGAAGCATCATGGCCTCCACTTTCTAATGACTTATTGCTGCTTTCCTGCTGGACGTGTCTGACTGTAGTGGCTCAGCAGCGGGCTTTTGCACCATTATATTCCCTCCCTGATTGATCACTTTGCGACTCAGGGGTTCACAGCCGGTCATGAACAATATTTGGATGTGAGGAATCTCCTCCACCCAGGGGCCCTCAATTAGCACGGCGCTCCATGCCAGATGTCCCCAGCTACTCCGAGTTACCTGAGGAGGCCACACGAGTTGAACCTTTTCCCTTAAAGTTCAGGGTAAGCCGAGGGGAACAACAGAAGGCTCCCAGGTTAGGGTTGAAGTTTGAGCGGATTATCCTCAACTTTGAACTGCAGCCGCCTCTTTCAGACACATCTCCTGTTTTATTTCAGATTCCTCTCCAGGATTGGATGAGTGAGTCGCTGAGAGCTTCCACGTACGACCAGAGGTCACGTGTGAAACTCCTGCATGGGTGTATAACAGGGCCTGAGGTGTGACTTTTATATGTGCAGAAACCTGAAGGACTGGAGTTGACCCGTTTGGAAGGTTAAGCTCTTGGCTCACGATGCAACCGCACAACACTTTGTTTACATCCGAGGGTTTGGGACTTCAGAGGCACCGGAGTTTCGGAACAAGGGGGAAAGAAACGCAACAACTAGCTTCTTTGCTCTGGTCAAACATAACATTCACTGTTGGATGATTCCTCAGAGGAAAACAGAGTCAAAGTCCAACGTAAAAACAAAACTCAGCTCAGACTGGAGACAAAGTTGGCCAAACAGACTAGAGGTGAGCGCAGACTTCCAACTCCTGCCAACCGGCACCCTCTTTGCACCTTTTCCTGTTATATTGGATCTTCCTTTTAATTGTATTTCATGATTCTTTGCTCACGTGTTTTTTCAACAAACCTGCAGTGTCTCTAGGATGAATGGATGCCTTGTGAGTCTGCAGGAAAAAAAGCTCCGGTGCACCATTTTCAGGAAGAAAGAGTGAGCTAGAGCCAGTTTAGAGTCTTGTTTCCTGATATTTGGACATCTCGCCTCTGATTGGCTAACGCTACTATGGACTCCAGTTAGCTCCTGCTAGCCGAGACGCTCTCTGCTGTTTCCTGGAAGCTAAACCAACAACAGCCTTCCCCATCGTGGGTCAAGATGGGTGAGTCCATGAATGTTGGTGACAGTGTGACATAGATCTGATTCACCGTCTACCAGAAGCTAATGCAGGAGATAGGTGTAGGAGACTTATTTCATGTTCAGCCTGCATGAAACTCTCAGAGTGACTGATTTTATTGAATAAATAACAAATAAAAAAGTCAGGATTGACCCACGAGTTGCTTTTATTGTTTTTTACAAGTTTTATTCCGTTTTCTCTTGCTTTTACTGCACGGTACGTTGGGCTACATAGATATGTATTTGAATTAAGTTTTTGTTATCCGCTTTTCTAACGTCTCCGTGTGACTCTGCAGGATTCTGGTCAGACTGATCCGCTGATCCACAGATGAAACGGACCTAAAGAGTAATAATAATAATAACGATAATAATAATAATAATAGTATTAATAATGTTTAGGAAAATGTCTTCAAGGAATTGTAAGAAGCCTAGCTGCCTTTTTCCCGAAGCCACTGGCATGCAGCTGAAGTAGTTTTCCTCGTCTTTATGACTTTGACTGAATTTGGTTTGATGAGAACCGTTTCAAAATGGACAAATTTCACACAAACAAAAATAAAACCGTTATTTTTTTCTGTAAATTTCCAACCAGAGAACTAAAAGGATCCGTGGTGATTTATCTAACAGAAAGGTCATCAGGATAATGGATGAGGAGCTCACACTGAAGAACCCAACAGTAAAGCACGGTGGAGGTTTAATCATGACATGGGTTCTCTGTGATGCCCCTTACTGGCTAGATTTCACGAGGAAAAATTAGTAAATTAGATGTTTTAAGAGTTTTAGAGCAGACTTTGGTCCCAAGTGTTAGTTAGCCAAGCTGAGGTGGAATTATCTGGTCTGAAGAAGAAACAAACAGATTTAAAAAGTTCCTAAACTCTAGCTGGCTGCCAGAATCATTATTGAACCATCACTTTTAGGACCATTCCTTCACTAATTATTAATAAATTATGCCAATAATCCCATCAGGATGAGGTTTTACTCCTCACCAGCTCTTCCTGGGAGTAAAGTTTCCAAGCACAGAAAAAGTCTGCGAAAGCCGTTCTAATAACTGAAGGAACCAGGTCATGGATCCAAGCGGATCAGATGAGCTTGCTATAAAGGCTGTCTGTGTTTACACTTGAAGGTGGGTAAGGAGCTCACTGGTCCCTGTCACCGCTCCATCACACTAAAAGGGCTAGATCCAAGGTGGTTCGGACATCTGGTCGGGAAGCCTGCCGGACATCCTTCAGGACAAGTGCTTCAGACACATCCGACCAGGAGGGAGGAGGCTCCGGGCACAGCAAGCTTCTAAGATTACGAATCACGATCAGCTTGGGAATGCTTTAGTGTCCTCCTGGAATAACTAGAAGAGCTGACCTGGGTGACGGGGATCTGGACTTCCCTGCTGTGGAATGTGGCCTGGACTCGGACCGCTGCTCCAGATTTAAAACTTCACCTGATACATATTCATACGACGAGGGGGACATTTGTCCCGCTTTTGTGTGAAGACTCGTCTCAGCAGCTAATGATCTTGAGCTCTGCCCTTAATTCTGTTAAGTCCACTGGCCCTGGCATGTCTAAATGAGTGACCCGGCGACTTTATCGCCCGATTGGAGGAAAATATGCCGATGATGACATCATGAAAGCAAATAAAGCATTTTAAGTCGTTCAAATTCATGTTCCATTCCAACAAGGACACTTTGATCTTATTAAGCAGAGCTTAAGTGCTGCTCCACTACAATGAAAGTCCAACATCTGATCTAAATGAAAGTGTCAGAACTCCCAAGAGACTGCATCCGATTTACCGGAGACAAAATTGGATTTCTGTCAACCTCTGAGACCCAAAAACAGCACAAAAGCAGTTTTCTGGATTCTCTCCAGGCCACAAAGCTCCTCGCCGTCACATCTACGCACAACAGGTGAGAAAAAGTGAGAGGGGGGGATCAAACTCTGCACATCACTTCAGCTTTTGGTGGAAAGTTCTACATTTCCCAGGACGGCTCCTGGAGCCGCCCAGGCTGACGGAGAGGAGAGAGAGGAGCCGGCTGGACAGAGAGCGTTTACCGTTTTGTGCAGCTTCATCTTTCCAATGGGGAGAGCATTTTTCTGCTGGCTCTGGAACAGAAGAGAAACAGGAAGTTCACCCAAAACAGGAAGTAAAAACAGCAAGTAAAGAGTTGCTCCTGAGAGCAGAGGCCAGGAAATAAGCTGCTCTGCTTTAATGTTTTAATGCTTAAAACAGGAACATTTAGAGCCGTAAAACAGGAGGCGTAAAGCAGCAGCGTCACAAACACACGCTTGTATCTGTGTGTTGTTGTCCATCTTAAGGTGGAACAGCAAGCGAGGGGATTGGGTTCATTTCCTCGTGCGATACACGAGAGCCTGTATCTGTTTAGTTCGATAACATATGTGCCGGATCAGAGGTGTTAGTGGGATGGCTAAATCCGCACGTGATGACCAATTTACCTCGTACATTATCTCTGTTGACTAAATGCACCGAGCGGCACATACTGTCCTGCCTGTCCCATTTAGGGGACAAGCTGTTAGCTGATGGAACCCATATGTCTCCACCCTGGCCGGGTTCTGTGTGACCAGGCCCGTTTTATCTCCCAGAGGGAATGCTGCCCTCCCAGTCTGTGGAGATAGGTGCAAATAATCAGGAAGAAAATAGTTCTTTGCTGTTTTTAAGCTTTTTAAGACGAGTTCCAGCTGAGCGGTCTGATCTATGTGTAATAAAAAATTAAAATAGCAAAACATTTACTTTTATTATTTTTAATTAAACGAATCAGCAGAAAATCAGTGGTTTAGGGTGATGTAGTTCATGTGAAACATTAAATCTGCCTGGTGCTGTGGGCCGGGCTGGAGCGAGTTCAAACTGGACATCGCCTCTCCAGATGTTTTCTGTTACCAGGGGAAACTTCTGACCCACCCAGAACCCGCCGGGTCAAGGGTTCTGTCTGAATCCACCCGTTACAGGTGCAGCCCCACGACTCACGCTGGGGTTTCAGTGGAGAGGTGTCTGACCACACCTCTCTGCCGCCACCTCCCAGCCCCGTTCACCAGCTAAGAGTGAGTCTGAGGATAAATCGGTCGCGGTGTTTCCTCAGCACAGACTAAATCAACCTCCCTCAGCTGCTTTCAGCCTTCAGCAGGTCCAGATAGTTAGTCCATGAAACCTCATACAGACACCAAGGTAAAGGAGGTGACAGAAAATTGTACGTTTGGTTTAATTTAAGATTTTGAAAGAATCTGTTGAGACTCAAAAAGCAAGCAGCAGAAAACGCCTCAGACGAGTTCTGACTTCAGGGAATCCTATCCAGTTGACGCGGAGCGTGCAGGCCACGTCCCGGACGCGCCTCGTCCAGCCGGTCTCTGCTCCAACACCTGAGCCGCCGAGGGTGGAATCACCTGTTCAGCAGCTGCAGCTCTGCAGGTTAATCACCACCAACTCAAACTAGCAGCACTGGAGCAGAGGAACCTCTAGAGCGGTGGTTCTTAACTCCCGTCTCCGCGGGCCACTGCCCAGCATGTTTTACCGTTTCCCTGCT